GATTGAGATGTACCATGGCAGTCCTGTCTTCTTTCATGCTACACATTATACCCGTATCTCCCAGTGGATTTAATATTCTAGTTCCAATTGCTTCCATTGTGTATTGTTAAATGAGTATTTTTACACTTTCAACATTGTTACTCCACAGTTTACCTCTAGACGTTGTTCAGCTGGAGGCAGCTGCCTAACTAGGCACTGCCTTCAAAGGCACCTCTCTTGTTGGGGAACATTTTAAAAGGAACCTTAGTAGGCATTGCATTTGGGACATTCTTCAAAGCCGTCTTACTTCATAACTTTTGCTGCACTGTAGACATGATAGATGTAGTAATAATTGAAGTCACTCATTAGCTTACACTTGCCTCCAACTGAAAAGGTGGATTACCTCAGTGTATGCAGATGGCCTCTGAATCCTTGTAGGAATGTACTGAGTATGAAGAACAGGCTGCTTTAAGGAGTTGTATCTGCCATTATATAGTCGACTTATCTCCTCAGTATCACCACACTCTTCAATAACTTCAATTTCAACATTATTCAAAATTAAGTCACCCAAAATTTAGTTAGTCAGTAGGTTACTTTTCTTAATCCAGGGCTGCTTAATTCTGATACTGTAGATCGACCGCCCTGAGGGTTCAGCTCCAACCCTAATCTAACACACCTGATCCTGTGGATGAAGGCTATCAGGGGAATCTGAATGTTTGAGCGAGGTGTCCTGGATCTAAACTCTCCACATTGGTAGATCTTCAGGACCAGGATTGGGCACATAAAAGATGTTTCAGTGAGTGCTGAAAATGAACACAGTCCTTTCATAGCTGGCAACAAACATACATCAAACTTCCAGTTTCACTGGAGAATGTTCACTTTTACTCAAACCACATTTTTCCATTTTCCAAATTAACAGAATTATACTGTTATTCTCCCACATTGGTCCTTATTGGTTCAACTGGCCCTTCAAGATATTAGGACTGAGCACAATTTGAGCTAATAACAAGAAAAAAGAAGAACCTCTTATCATAAACAAATACACTATTTAAAATCACCTAGTAATGAAAACCAATCCAATTGTTCTAAAGTTAAAATGCTACTTTCAAAAGTTCTGTGTGTCAATGCAGTTTCCACAGCAAAACTGAATTATGTTTTGTTTTCTCATTATGCTTTCTCAATGTGAGATTTAAATACATTGGACACTGTTTGGAAACCTTTGACTTTTGGAAAATTTATGTTGTGTAAAGTAAAAACTGACCATTATTTATCCATTTTTTGGCCTATCAATACAATCAAACTCATGTCTGGTCACAATATTTGAACATAATAGTTTAACATCTTGAAAATGCTTTATTGCTGTTAAATCAGTGGTTTTCAAAGCAGTCCTCCCAGTCCTCATGGCCCCCAGATAGTCCACATTTTGCCTCAACCTAACAGTCCATAGGGATAGAGCATTATTGGGGGGTTAAATCATGAGAAATATTTATCAAAAATCAACTATATCAATAATAACAATAAAAACAGAAAATATCAACAAAATAATAATAATAATAGAAATCCCTGTATTAAAACAGTAGGTAATTCAATTAGAATCCACATGTAATATAATCTATACATGTAATTCAGAACTAGCAGATTTGGATTTTCAATGTCTCATTAGTCCTTCAGTTGAGTAGTAAGTATAACACAGACAGGTGCTTGTGGATCAGCACTACAATCATGGCAGAAGAGCTCAATGTTGCACTTACATGTTAAAAGCATATTCTGGGGATTTTTTTTTCCATTGGCTCATGAGCCTCCTGAATGCTTTCCTTTTATTGGGTGCTACCTGCATGAATTATGGCATTTAAACATAAATTATGTATATAACATAAAATGAGTGTTTTGTTTGCAAATTATATGTGAATAAGAGAACAGTGCACGGGTACTTGTTATCACACAGCAGAAGCTAACTGATAAACTGCACTCAAATCACAGCTCATTTTGATGTCGAACGACAGTTTCATTAATCATATAGTAGTCTCTTGCAGTCCTGGTGCTTTATCTATTTTTTTTCTATGCTAAAAGCTTCTAGGTAATTTTGATGAATTAGGACAACTGTCTGTATTTAGCAGCATTATCATCTACTGCAAACTGCCAGTGAACTGAAAATATTCACTATGAAATACATCACCTGAGCACACATCCAAATGGCTATTTAAGACCAGGGAGGCATAGTGACGGTCAGACAAGACTGGACTTAGAGCTTGTTGCCATTATCTAAACTAAGTCATACAATATTCTCACATAAACCAAACCAAAACCAAATGTGTGTCCAAGCAGGTTTGGGACCCGTATGTAAACAATTCCTTTTTCATCTAAACAGGAATTGTTGACTGAAAGCAGCCAATAGGACAAATTGTATTCTTGTAGTCTGTGGAACAGGCTTCTACACTTCACATATATCAAACTGATGAGCTATGCTAACTGGCTATGTGTTAAACTTCTTGAAGGTGAGAGGACCTGAGAAGGTGTACAGACCACATGTCAAGCACAGGTCAATCAGGTGTGATGTTGAGAAATTGTGGAGGTAGAAAACAGGAGAGAGCCTGTGAAGAGCCTAAAATATACTGATGTTCATAGAAATGATTTGGTGGAAAATGTAGAAATCAGCCAAAACATGTGGTGTACGAAGTTTGCTTCTTAAGTTTTGCACTAAAGCTGTGAGGCTGATGTAGCTAACAAATAATGGAAGCTCATAACCACCAATTAGCCAAAGTCAAAACCTCCATGTTGTAACTAGGAATCCTCAATCATGGTCAAGTGTGAATGTCATATGCAACATACTTAATGTCCATTTTTATAGATAACAGTATGCCACGGCATCAGAAACCACACAAGCAAGTCTATTTGATATTGCTTAATGACTCCATGCAGTTTATGGCAAGTATGTGACAATTTAGGCATGCACTTTGCACAATGCTAACACGGTAGCATCCATTAGTTGTTAGCTACATTAGCCATGTAGCTCCAGTGTAAAACTAAAGAAGCAAACTTCAGACACCAAACATGTCTTGGCTGATCATCTACAGTTGTGGTAGGGTGAAAGTTGTGTACAATTGATTTTGGGGCAACTGGTGCTCTAAGGGCACAGAGTAGTAGTGCCCACCTCAGCCCAGTAAAATTGCTGGACACTCGATGAACAGCTTGATTTTTTTACCAAATTCATCAGACAGGTAGCTATGTTTACAATGCAGTGTAGGTAGACAGATATAGAACCAAGGCTGCATCCAGAAACTTTTGCTACTGCACTTGTTCTCCCCCTCCATTCCTAAGGCTCCTATCCTACCCCAGAAGACTGTTGAGGAATTGAGAGAAAGAGGAGTACTGAGGGAAATGAACAACTGATCCACTTCGTCATCATATCGAAGTCTACCACAATGTCCTCTTGAAAGCACACCCTTAATACTCCTGCAAGCCAATCGCATTAACTCCACAGAGCCAGACTACATTTGTGCTTGGCCTTCTGCTGCATGTTTTTGATTTTATTTGAAATCAAAAACAAAACACACAAGATACTGAGATCCTAGGTAGCGTATACTTATGTATCCTCTGTTGGAAGCTGATTCAGCAGCTTTTTGGAGCAGCTTTTCTTGTCTCCTCCAGTACTGGGACAGCTGGTAAGATGGGGTCATGAAATCAGTTACTGGGACACAGGGAGGAGGAGGATTGAAAGGAAAAACAGTAACATTTATGGGTTTTGGACGCAGCCCTAATCTTCTCAGTTATTGTGTTGCAGTGCTGCCAAGTGCCTAAACCAGTGCACCTTTATCAAACAATTGATCCCTACGTTGAGTGAGTTTACATGCACTAAGTAATCCGATCATAATAGGGTTTCTGCAGTTTTTTGATTATTCAAATGGTCACGTAAACAGTATACTCTGATTTCTTAGATTGCAGTAAGGTCTAGAAATCTGATTAGGAAATCCGATAAAGAGAGCTAGATTTTAGCTCAGTTTCTCAGTGTGTGTGTACTCTTACTTTGATTTCTTTTGGATTTCTCAGTCTGAACATGTGCTATAACAGACCGCAGTACCAGAAATAAGCAAGCAGCGTTGCCACAAGATGGCAGCAAGATACTTTTGGAGCGATGCTGAAACCAATTACATGCTTGACGAAACAAAGGATTTAAATATTCTTCATCATTTAGATGATGTATGTTCATATTTTCAGGTAAAGTGGTGTGATGTTTTCAATAAAAAAGCCACGGCATGAAGTTTGAGTTTTACATTATGTTTGTGTCACATCTTCTTCTGTGAGTTTATTGGCTGGTTGACAAGCAGAAATCAGATTATTGCCTGAATCATACAGAGCCAGAGTTCAGAATTATCTGATTACTCAGGTGCACGTAAACGTGTTGATCGGATTACTGATAACATCTGATTTTCTGCAGTTATCGGATTATTGAGTGCATGTAAATGCATGCAAACTCACTGAGAGTAATCTGAACCAATCAAACCCATTAAAAAAAATGAACCTATCCAAAGATAGATGGATAGAAAGAAGCAGTGTAAACTTCAAATGAAATACTAACATATGAAAATGGTTGGATTCAAAACATTTAGTCTAGGAATGGAATGAATTTTTCACCTGGACAAGCAACCAAAAAATCAAACAATCCAGGGAAATCCTGTACAGGAGGCAACACTACTGAGCAGAAAAGGAGAAGAGCCGTCTTAAATCAGACAGAAGTACAGATGGCATTTGGCGACTCTTTGTAGAAAACCCATGATTCCACTGTACACTCTGTACCTTGAACCCCATCACCCCTCAGCTCTCTCTCTCTCTCTCTCTCTCTTTCTACTCCCACCTTCTACTTTTCTCACTCTCAGACACATGCACCCAATGTCAAGAATTCTGCGAGGGAGGGTTCTGAGTGTTCTTGGTGACCTGAAGTGTGTCAGCTGTGTGCTAGTTACAGAGTTTATGTTCTTCCCTGAAGAAGGCTGTGGCAGTAAAAACATCCTATATCACACTAGACAAGCTGTGGCAGGCAGTGGATGATAGCTGGAGTTCTTAAGGACTGAATTAGATACAGAAAAAGTCAAAGTCAAGGCAGAACATCCAATAAGTTCACGGTTAGGGTTGGAATCTCCCAATTGCTTGAAATTTCATTATTCCTCATGTGTGTGGTCAGTCACATCTGATTAAAGTCCTGAGAAAGTGTTGGTAGGCCTTTCCATGCAGATCTGGGAGCAGTTTTGCACTTTGCCACTGTTGAGACAAAACCTCACATCTCAGAAAAGATAACTTTATAGGAGAAGGAAAAAACACATTCTTAACTGTTATGTACGGTAATATAAAGAGACTTCAAGTATTTTTGACCATTTCTTTTGCCCATTCGTCAAAAAATGTTCACCCACTGTAAAGGGCAGCTGGCATTTTCAAATGGTGTATAAAAAAGAAAAGACAAAAGGAAAGAGTCATGAGGTTTCAATAGTGACAACTTGTTACTACAGAACTGCTCTCAGATACGTAACAGTTTACATTTCTGCATGGCTGGTCTTAGGTCAGTGTAAAAGGGCAGTTAGGACCGAACTGAACAAGTTGAACAGCCTGGCTCCTCTTCTGCAGTGCTGCTATCTCGGCCCTGTGACCTCACCTGGCCTATCTTATGTCAGTCCCCTGAGAAGGGAGAAATGATTGGTTCGCTGTTGATTGTTTCCTGTTCAATCAGCGAAAGCTTTTTTCTGCTGATATGGTGAGACAGCACAGCTGAGTCTGACGTCCCTTTGAACAGACCTGTGAACATGTGTAAAAATAACACATTAAGATATAAAGGCTGGTTGATGCAAGAGTGTACTGCTGTTTATTTACACTGCCCGTCAAACGTCTGGGGACACCTTGTCTTCTTGTGAAACTTTCCAAGTAACATTTTCACTCTTTTCACTCAATATTTTCAATTAATAAAATGAAAAAACATATTTCCTGTAACTCCGCAATCAGGTTAATTAGGACACTGTTGGCTCTCTGTGCGTGAAATATTGTGACTCTGTGTTGAGCTGCTAGTGAACAATGAGTGGTGAAAGGGGAGGGGTGAGGACCCCCTGCTGTGAAAACAGTTCACACCTCTATACAAACACAGCCGTGCTGAGATACTTGTATAAATGTTGATTTGCTTGCACACCGATAAAGATGAAAATTTAGTTCATTTCCAGTTTTGTAAATCATATCCATCCATATTTTTCCATCAATGTTACTGAAGAATTCTAATCACTGGATATAATCTTTCACCCCAAAGGTGGTTTAAATAGCTCAAGACATTGATATCACAACAAGCGGACAAAATGGGTGGGCTTTGGCACGATCACCCAAAATAGGGCTTTTTCAGTGCAGTTATTCTGTTATTAGGTTCAGTTCTTTTGAGAACGACAGCAAGATCTGTTTAATATTAAATTGTAATAAAAAAGGAAGCATGCTCATTTGATGGTCAGTGTATAATCACCAAACGCATATGGTACAGGTCACAGTTTTGTCAGGCAGGTGAAAATATTTGTGTTGTATTCATGAACTGCCTTGTACTTTGTATCATCTGTGGGTTTAAAAAAGGTTGAGTTGAACTAACCTGCACATGTGCTGCAGCCAGCAATCGAGTCATCGTTAATCTGTTGAGAGAAATACATTCATTATGCCTCTGCTTAGCAATTTCTTATCTCCCTATGGAAAGAGACTTCTGTAATTAACATATGACAGAACAACAGGGCAGACATGCCCTGCACACACACGAGCATAATACATAATTGCACATTATGTTCATATCTCAGATTTAATAAATACATGAATATGTATGCCTGTGAATTACTAGTGCAAAATATTTGGTGCCGTCAATCATTTTTGCCAGAGTATTGCAATCTTTTGTGACAACTTGTTTGTTACAGTTTTTTACACATCACACTGTTAGGGATGAGTGGTTGACTCTTTTTGTTGGGTTTAAATCTAAAAAACAGTTCAATTCAATTCCACCAATTGTTTTCAACAATTATGATCACAACAGGTGAGTTCATAACAAGGTTACAGCACCTGTTAAACAAGCTACTCAATACTCAGTAAATGCAAATCTACTCAATACTCAGTAAATGCAAATCTACTCAATACTCAGTAAATGCATATCTAACAAGAAAAACCTAAACTGGAAATATAATGTCATACATTTTTATCATTTAAAAAGACTTAATTTAAGAGTTAAATGGCACACTTGTGCAATTAGTGTAATAATATAATGAGAGTCAATGTCACTGGATATCATGGCAGTGTAAGATCAAATCATTATATCACACAAGCCTAAACACTGAACTTGAATGGTACAACACTGACTATCACAAAGGTTTGTAAAAGAGTACCTTTGAAGCTCCAGTATAAAATGTTTTAATGTCTTTTTTTTTACTCAGTTGTCTCTCCAATTTAGTCATGACCAACTCCACCTGCTTGTTAGGTCTCCCCCTAGCATGTGCTTTCTCTGAGACACGTTGCTAGCCGTTGATAACACATCACTGAAAAGCTCAGTGTTTGCAGAGGACATCGTGCTGAGTTATCAGGAAAGAGGGATGAAGGGCCATAGCACTCAGAGAGAGCGAGGCCAACTATGCTCTCTTGGACTCCCGGCAACGGATGGATGTAGCATCTCTAGGGATCGAATTTGCAATCTCGCAATGATAGGGCCAATGTTTAGATAGTTGCACCACTTGGGAGCCAACTGTTTTAATGACTTAACCCTGATGTCGTCAGAGAGTGTGGGCTCTAGACTGTCTTGGATGGCCTACACAACTGGTTTCCATCCCTGGTCCCGGTGTGCATCGCCCTGGAGGGTAAATGTAGTCTAGGACCAAGTGGTGGAACAACAATCTTACACGATAATCAATTAAACTATAATAAAAAAGAGCTCCAGGTTTCTTTGTTACAGTCTAGAGGAAATAGTGATTATGGTCCAACGGTTCTCCATGTTGTAGTACGAACAGGTAGAAATCTGACCTTTATGTGTGGACGGGGTTTGGACTGTTGTCACGCTGCTGAGGTCAGTAGGTAAGCCCACATACACTCCTCCATAGTTCTTCCTCTTCTCATCCTCTGGAGGAGGCTCCTCAGTCCTAAAGAACAAGAGACAAGGTTGATGCATCAACTGCATGATGGAGAAAGCACTGTGTAGTCCTTCAAAGCCAGCAGGTTCATTTAAAGCCAAAATGAAAAATGTAATAATTGCTACATCTGCTGTATTCCTGGTTACTGGGATCCTACTGTGGTGTTGCAGTAGTCTCTAGAGTGAGAATGTCTGGTTTTCAGACTAGAAAAACCTCCTTCTGATAGTGTATCCTGAAAATATGACTGCTTTAGGGTGGGTTTTTGGGGACAGCTGGTGAATGCAGAAGGAACACAGATAGCTAACGTTACTGCTAACGAGCTGAATTTCTTATTGGAACTATATAATTATGGTTATTGTCTTCAGATTATCAGTGGAGAAAATGGATTGATCAAACGACAGAAACGACTCGTCAGATGACGAGGGCTGTCTCGATACCTCACCAAACCAAGTTTGGCTTGGTTTAGCTGAAAAGGTAAAAAAAACTCTTATCCTGGGCTGAAAACAGATAAAAATCACTCTTTATGATTTTGCATGAGTTTGACGACAGAGGTAGGAGTTACACTAATGCTATCTTGGTTGTATTTATTAGCGTATAGCTCACTGGCTAAGCTAGCAGTCATGACTGGATGACACCACAGGGATTGCCAATGATAGTATTATCTATGTGTGGAATGCACGCTAAGCATTCTAGTGAGAGAACATCAGAGGAGTGGACTCAAGTCATATGACTTGGACTCGAGTCACAAATTTGATGACTTTAGTTAAAAAAAAACAAAAAAAAACAAGCAAGACTTGGGACTCGACTTTGACTTCAACACCAGTGTCTCGGACTCTGACTTCAGCCTCGTGACTCGGAAAGACTTGATACTCAAAGTGGAGGAAATGTAGAGAAGCATCTGATTGCAGATGGGACTCCACAAAATTGATGATTTTTCATGTAAATGAATTTGTTTTCTGCCACAAACTGAATAAAAGCAATGTTTTCTTTAATTTCTGTCGCTGTGCTTGTGCTTGGTTTATTTTATGTCAGAAAACAAGCAAAGCATCCAAGTTCTGTTGGAACACTGAGAATTCTGTCAAGGCAATGAGGCTGAGGGATACCGAGTTCCAGAATACTACATAACTTGACAAATAGCATATTAATGGATGGAATGCCTCTTTAAATAATGTCTGCTGGACAAATGCTAAGAAGAACTTTTCCTCAGCTGATGATAACAGCTGTTGCTGAGGTCAAGCAGTGCTTGATTTGATAGAACTTGTTTTGAAAGTCACTTGGCTGAAGGCTGCAACCCTCCCACAGAGAGCCGTGATTGGCTGTTGTCTGGTGTATGGGCGATCACTGGTTGAGAGCGCGGCCACTGATGAGTGCTGCATGTCACACACTCTAAGGGCCTCATCAAGGCTGGAGACAAGCGAGATGATTGGTGCGTGTGTGTATGTGTGTGTGGGGCTTATTCTAGGAACTGTTTGGAAAATAACAGCCTGGACCATATCCCCTACTGTTTCCAGCGCCAGTGCGGGTGTTGATTGACAAGCCATTCCAGGTACCCAGAGGAGTCACACTGACTGAGCTTCTAGAAACTTCTCACTCCTCCAGTGCTGCCTTTCTTTATGTTCTCTGACGATGCTGAGGGTGGACTGATGACCAAATCAAAGTAACTTCATAAAGATGACATCTACCTCCTGCAGTGTGAGGAGCTGTAGCTAGCAAGTGCCTGGAGTTTGATTCAAGTTTAACTTCTACTCACTCGTCTTTGGCAGCCTCAGGCGGACCTGTGGAGAGATCAAATCAAACATTACATCATTTTTATGGCCCAAACCAAATCATCTCAGAGGGCATATGCTAAAAGCAGGTTTTGGAGGATATGACATGGCTATCAGATGACATCACTCAGTGCTTCTAGACGCTGTTGGAATTACAAAGGGACGGGTAGGGCCAGACAATTTGGGGAAAATATCCAATATTAGGACCAAAATTTAAATAGCAACTTTGTTCTTTTTTGCTAAGAAGACCAGCATATCCTCTTTTTGTAGTTTGAGGCTTGAACGCTTTCCATAGTGCACCAAACTGCCAGTTATTTGTGGCTGTGTTATCATGTACACAGCACATGTCTGTTCGCTTTACAATGGGTCTAACTCATCTACAGGCATAAGCTCTGTTATTAAATTTCCCCTCTTTAACTTAAGACAACTTTGTTGATAATGCAGACTATAATTAAAATTGCAGCTCTTGCAAAATGAAGAACGCACTCCTTTAAATTGTGGTAGCATATATATACACACACACACACACACACACACACACACACACACACACACACACACACACACACCGATCAGGCATAACATTATGACTACCACCTTGTTTCTACGCTCATTGTCCATTTTATCAGCTCCACTTTCTATATAGGTGCACTTTGTAGTTCTACAATTACAGACTGTAGTCCATCTGGTGGTGGTGTGTTAGTGTGTGTTGCGCTGGTCTGAGTGGATCAGACACAGCAGTGCCGCTGGAGTTTTTAAACCACCACGTCAGTGTTACTGCAGTGCTGAGAATGATCAACCTCCCAAATAGTACCTGCTCTGTGAGGGTCCATGGGGGTCCTGACCACTGAAGAACAGGGTGAAAGGGGGCTAACAAAGTATGCAGAGAAACAGATGGACTACAGTCAGTAATTGTAGAACTACAAAGTGCACCTATATAGTAAGTGGAGCTGATAAAATGGACAATGAGCGTAGAAACAAGGAGGTGGTCATAATGTTATGTGCCTGATCGGTGTGTGTGTTTATATATATATATATCGAGCTATACATGCTCGATTTTGTCAGAGGTATCAATAATTTTGTCAGAGGCATCAGGTCAGGTTTTGTGGGGGGCTTTCGGACCACATCATACATCTTTACGTATTATGTACGTATGCTTTATGTGTAAACACAGCTTTAAAAAAAAAGATCTGGTTCAATGTTTAGGTGTCAAATACAAAATCAACAATATACTGATGAAGATACAGTGACTATAGAAGATAATTCACTTATATCCTCAGGACACACTTCCTTCACCAAGTTTTGACTGAGTTCTCTTTGAATACTCTTTCAACACGCTCACAATCATCAGATTCATCTGTTACATCTGTTCGGGGAGTCCAAAATGTTTTTCCGCATGTTGCATGCAATTAAATGTTTCCACCAGAGAGGTCTCCAAAATCCCCAAAACTTACATAGTGCAGCTTTAAAGAAATGAAACGTGATCTAAAATACAATATAATATACTGTAAGAGCATATGATACGACACGGTTGGCAACCGTGATGGGAACTGTTGTCGGGCAGATTTGGAGCCAGCGGAGAGATCACACACCCTGCCAGTCCACATTATATCAACCTAACGATGAGTCATCATACAGCCTGTGTGTGTGTGTGTTTTCAGTGGACACTAGAGGTTACTAAAGGTTACTGCAGCTCCTTGCTATTGAGTATTGTCTACACTTGTTAAAATATATTACTAATGAGCACACTTTACTGACTCAGTGCTAGCGAGAGTTACTGGAATCCTCCTATTCAGGTTTGAAGGGGAATTCCACATTTTTTCCAAAATTTCTATACAATTTTCTCATTGAAAACAGAGTCAAAAGTGGTTTGATGTGAAATGATTCATTGTGGAGAAACTTACCGACTCAGATTTTTTTTACAGTGCTCATCCCAACAGCTCTCTGACTGTGTGTAAACATTATAGAAACTGAACAGACCAACCACCCTTAACATAGCAAACCTGGAAAAGTGGCTTAATATTTCACTGTGCTGTTTCTTTTCCAACTTTCTGTGTTCTAATCTCAATTGCTGCTCGCTACAGCATTTTACAGTGATTCACAATGATCAGCCAGTTTTGCCAAGTCTTAGAATGCCTAAGAAATGTCTTAGATTCAAATTTATAAAATCAAGAGATGATGTTGTTCGGATGTTGGATTATTTTCTTGCTGACAAGCAGTTTGCAGCACCATATGCTGTGTGCTAATAGAGAGTGTGGGGGTTGTTAGGCTGGGTAATTGGCCACATGGTGAGGTAAACACATTCACTGCTGTGAACTTTGTGGGTTTAGCTGAACCTGAAGACTTGTGGGTGTGCCTAAACAAGAATAAAAAAGAATAGTGTAGACGATACACATGCATGAATGATAGCATGGTCATATATATATATATATATATATATATATATATACATATATACACACATAAGCTGTAAAAAATAAGGAATGTTAAATGTGTTCAGAATAATGAAAGGGGCTGTAGATGATTCTATAATAACAGACAAAGGTTTATAACAAAATTAATGAAAGTATAATAAAATTAACATCCAGAATGAATTTGAAAAGTGGTGAGCAGATCTCAAGCTGGATAACCTATCAAGGAATTACTATAAACAGACAAGTACAGTATATATTCTACTATTTAATAACGTTTTACTGATTTAGTGAAAATAAGTTACACATCCTCTACAGAGAACACACTTCTGCACAAAATTGACTTGTGACAAAACACATAAATGTGGCCTGTGCAAAAGTTGTGGCACATTTTATATTTATGTTTTACTTTTTCCAATATGCTCAACAGCAAAAAACAAAATTTAAATTGTGCACTAAAATTTGCAGAAAAAATCCCACATTTAAGTGTGTTCTCTGTAGAGGATGTGTTAACTTATTTTCACTTAGAAAATCAATAATAATTGTAATTCGAGTGAGGGCATTTAAACTTTTGCATGCGGCTGTACATACAGGCTATAGTCCCATATGAATACACAGGTCTAAAAGAGTCTGTAGAAACGAGCCATGCAGTTTTATTTCTTTTCATATGTCAAGTCTCATCCCATGGCAGCTGTCAACTATTACCAACAGTAAACACTTTCATAAATAAATAGAAACTTTTTTTTAATTCTCCACAACATGTTGGAAATAGACAGTGAACACTGACAGTGAGAGTCTATTAGTGAGCATGTGATATACAAAGAACAGCGTGCATATTGATTCAGACTCATTTGTGCTTTATATGTTGTGTTTTGTGTGCGTGCAGAGTGTGAGCGTGTCGCTGGATGAGTCATACTGAAGCACAGCTCAGACTGCTGTCAAACTCTTCTAGAGCGGCCAAGCTGCTGGTCAACACACACACACAAACACTGGCACAAATGAAACGTCACATGCATGACATCATCTAACTGCTCTGACTGGATCTCTCTACAGTAGTTATCCACACAGAGATCACTACGCTAGATTAAGTCAACAGACAAAGGTGTCAATCAGTAGACCAGTTACAGCAGCTCCTACTTAAAACGATTCGAGTCAATGAGATTCGTCGAGGCTCGTCGAGTGTGTGATCATTCATGAATAAAATCCACCCCTCACAAAAGTCACTACAGCTGCATGGAGACCCCCATTCATAAAACAAGCCCACAAAACAGCATGAGGCACATGCTGCAGAGCATGCACACACACATACAAAGCCAGAAAGGTTCACTCACCTCCAGCCGTGCTGGTTGCTGTGGAATTCCCACAGCCCATCCCGCAGAACACACAGTGTGAAGGAGTGCAAAGATTTGAAAAAAAAATGGGAGAGAGACAGAGGACTAAAAGGGATGGGGAGAGAGAGGACAAAAGAGATGCTCAGAAAGAGAGAAGAGATAGAGAGCTGGGGATGTGTGGAGAAGAAAAAAAGCTGATGATAAGGAAAGAGCCTGTGTGTGTTGTGTGTGTGTGTGAGAGAGAGAGAGAGAGAGAGAGAGAGAGAGAGAGAGAGCAAGCAGAGGGAGGAGAAAGGGAGGGGATAGGGATGTAGGTGGAAGGAAAGAGGTATTCCTCCACCCTGGCAAGGTTGCCCGGGTAACAGAGAGTCAGCATGTGTGTATGTATATATGTGTGTGTGTGTTTGAGGTTTTCGCTATAATGTCGCTTACTTTGAGAGAGAGAGAGAGAGAGAGAGAGAGAGAGAGAGAGAGAGAGAGAGAGAGAGAGAGAGAGAGAGAGAGAGAGAGAGAGAGAGAGTGTGAGAGAGAGAGAGAGAGAGAGAGAGAGAGAGAGAGAGAGAGAGAGAGAGAGAGAGAGTTTAGAAAAGAGCTCAGAGCCTTTTAAAATGAAGTTTGGCTTCTCTGAACAGATTAATTACACTGACGATGTAGTTGTAGCTGAAACAGTTACGAGAAAAAGTATCTAGCAGGAGCTTCATTACGAGAAACAAGAAACTGAGTTTTCCCATCTGTTCCTCTCCCTAAATAACAAACAGTAAACAAGACAAAAAAAGTAAAAAGAAAAACAAACAGTAATCAGTGCTGATGACACACAGGCCTGAGATGAACTTGAATCTCCCAGATGAAAATGTCTCAATGAAAGATTCAACATCAAACCCTGCTGGGAAGATTTCAGTCAGATGCTCACACTCATTTTTCTACAGTGTCAGTCATATGCAAAATTTTAGGCACTCCGGACCAAATGGCATGTTCTGTTGATTTTCTAAGTGAAGACAAGTGAACGCATCCTTGACAGAGAGCACACTTCTGCAAATTTTAATACACAATTACTGTTTATTTACAGAATCTAATTGTCACAATCAGATAAACAGCTCTTAAAGGGGGAATTCCACCATCGTTAAGATGTAAACAGCGTCATTCAGAGTGGTTTCATGTGAAATACTTGGCAAGTCAGAATTGTTCACAGTGGTGGTGATAGGAACCAGACGTCTGAAGAGTTCAATGTCTTTAAAAGCTTCCTCACAGAGAGTTATAACATGAAATGGTTATGAATACACTTCCTGATGCCTGAGACACTGTTCCGTGATGGCTTTAGGGTAAGCTTTCATTCTTGAATATATTTTTAAAACCCATTCATGGCGGAGATGTAGATGCAGGACATTGTATGGCAAAATAATCCCCAAAAACTTTTTATTTTTTCAGATTTACCACTATTTTATCATCATAAACATCACATAAAACTCTGAAGACACATGTAGGTTCAGTGGTCATTCTAGATGATGAATGAAATGGGTACATTTGTGTTGTAGGCATTGTGACCCCTGGGTTCTATCACCACTACTGTAAAGAAATCTGAAACAGTAAGCCTGGTCCTGGAGGTCTACCTTCTTGCACAGTCTAGTTCCAACCAAAATCTGCCACACCTGCTCCAGCTAATCAAAACGTGATTGGCTGGATCAGGTGTGTTAGTGTTAAATAAGGGGGTGGGGCAGCTGAATACATAGGTTGAAACCAAACTCTGCAGGAAAGTAGATCTCCAGGAGGAGGGTTGGTGACTACTGCTCTACAATGATCTGTTTTGCATCAGACCACTCTGAATTACTTTGTTTTTAAATACTAACATTGTGCAGAAATTTTGATAATGGCTGGATTTAAAGTTTTGAAGCCTTTAAAAGCTTTAAAGCTTTCGTCTTTGAGAGATCAAATTAAAAATCAAGCTCCACTCTTGCTTCGGATCTGGTTTTCCTGCAAAGCCAGGACACTTTTGTTCTTAACATATCTAAAAGTAAGTCCATGTGCACACTCACACAGGCAGTAAATATCTCGGTATCTATGCTCTCAGCTCAACTGCTAAAACATTGTGATGTAGAGCACTGATCTCTAATCAGCATTTGCCATGTCCACCCTAATTAACACAACTGTCTGAACATGGTGATCTGTCTCAGGAGCTGATCCTAGGACAGCATTCAGGCTCTTGAGGACTTTATACATATGTACCCTGTTTCCTCCTTGTTCACAATCATGAGTAACGCACAGCTGCACCAGCAGCTGCTGCACCTGCTCACATAGGCTCAGAGTAGAACAGGCTGATGTACACAGCTAAACCTCTAGTAAGGTCTGAACACCTACTGCACTCATTTAGGCAGATAATTCAACATTAGGAACTTTATGGTGTTGGACCAGCATTTCCTATCTGAATCCAAACCTTAAAACCTGAAGACTGTTCTTCAGACCAGTGCTAAAGTGCAACCATGTGATGCCATGTGCATCATTTAACATTCAATGCATCAGTACATGCAAAATACAGAAACAATTATTTCAGGATATAGCACAGCGTATCCTGTACTGGACAGTGAGAAACATTCAGCTACTTCCGCTTCTCTCTCTTAGCAGGGCTATGAGTCATGCTCATGGCCTTTCCCAGTATTCTGCTGCCGAGTCCACCTGGCATATAATCAACCGCATTCACTCACATATAGATCAGAACCTCTGGAACCCTAATGGACTTCTGGTCATTAACGGCCAGGGCTTTCAATTTAAATCTCAGTTACTATCATCCTGAGTCAAAGTGGGCCTGAATTTTTCATCTCTGGCCTGCAGCAAACATGCATTCAGGCTATTTCTGCAATGCCAGGAAGAGCTAAGGCATATAACTGTAACTGAGTGAGAACATTACTCTTCCCAGAACTCATGATCTATCAGATATGAGGAGCTGTATTGTCCTCTTTAAACAGTAGAGAGCACCATTGCCACATTGTCGGGATTTACTGCTATGGAACATTTCTCAAACGTCTACAAAAAATGCAACACTTTTTATAGAGAGGATTAGACAAATAATAGGTTTTCACTCTACCCAGTGTGACAGTGTACTGGTCTCCATGTTAATTGTATATAGATTTAATTACACATTAATATTTAGATAACTGGACAAACTCTATATGGTCAAAAGTATATGGACATCTGACCATCAGACCTATATGACCTTCTGAACATTTCATTCTAAAACCATGTGCATTAATGTGAAATTGCCCAGCTCTTTCCCTCCACGCTTCTGGTAAGGCTTTCCACAAGATTTTGGAGTGTGTCTGTGGGAATTTGTGCCCATTCAGTCCAAAGAGAATTTGTAAGGTCAAGCACTCATGTTGGACGAGAAGACCTGGCTCACAATCTACATTCTAATTCAAAGGTGTTCAGTGGGGTTGAGGTCAGGACTCTGTGCAGGCCACTGTAGTTCCTCCACACCAAACTCATCAAACCATGTATTTTTGGAGCTTGCATTGTGCACAGGGGCACAGTAATGCTGGGGGAAAAGGGCCTTTCTCAAACTGCTGCCACAAAGTTGGAAGCAAATAATTGTCTAAAATGTCTTTGTATACTGTAGTATTAACATTACCGTCCTCCTCCAAACTTTACTGTTGGCACTCTGCATTCTGGTAGGTAGTGTTCTCCTGGCATCCAATAAACCCAGATTTATCCATCAGACTGATAGTGAAGAGTGATTCATCACTCCAGACATGGTTGGGATAGCTACTGAAAAAATTGTGGTTAGCTACTTTGTAGCTACTTTCCCAAAATTTGTAGCTAGCTACAATTTAGCTACTTTTCCAGAAAAAGTAGTGGCTTCTTTTTAACTACTTTTTAAAAAGAAGTGCACTACTTTTTAGCTACTTTCAAAGCGCAATTGTCAGAATGTTTGTGAATATCCACCTGACACACCAAACAAGCATAACTGAAAGTGTGAACAAGACACTGCATTTGATCATGTGCCAGAAAGAAACATACACTGAAAAGCTGCAAATATACAAAAAGATCACCAAAAAGTAAGTTTAAGTGTAACCAACAATCAAACTTACACAACCAAAGGCGTGATATCCAACAAAAATTTAGACTAAGTAAAGGCAAAATCAACCATTCCAGGTTTTTCCTAACAAAAATCAACAAAAATAACTGAATACAAACCAAACAACTTTGTGCAAATCATTGTCAACTGCTGAAATAAAACTGCTCCAATTCAAAGATTTCAGCAAGATACAGACATGACATTCAGAGTCCTTTGTTAAACTTCAGCCTCAAAATTTTTATCAGTGACCCTGGCTCTGCGGAGTACTATTAATAATAGTCTTTTACGAAGATGTTTTTTCCATTTTAGCTAAGGCAGGGGTCGGCAACACACAGCTCTTTTACTGCCCTGTTACGGCTCCACAGCAGAACTAGATTTTTAGGTAAAATAACAATCAGCTCTGCTGATCGTTCTAACACAGTTTTAACAATAAATGGTCTTAAAACGCTGGCGTTAACATATAACTGCTAACAGGGCCGTAACTAGGATCAGAATTTTGGGAGGTCCATTTTGCAGAAATGTTACTTACATCTGATTGTGATTAAAATAACTACCAAATATGAGTATTACAGCAACCATAAGTTTTCTCCTTTAGTTTTTTTTCTTTTAATCACTGCTCCTTTTTTACCCATCTATAACTGTTATGCACCTTTTTCTTTCATTTGTTCCTTCTTCATCCCTCTGTCCTTCCATAAACTGCTATTAATATTCCTTAAACTTATTTGACTTTAACTGCCCTGTTTAAGTTTAATTAATCATTTAACTATGTACTTATGTTTATTTTCAGCTAAAATAATACAATAAACTTACATTAAATAAGGCGATAGTTTCAATTTGATTTTGTTTCATTTACTTCTCTCTCTATCTTTGTTTGTCTCTTTTGCATCTATGTACTCACTGATTATTGTAAAAGCACACATTAAATATATGTTATAAAAGGCTGTCTGTACCAAAGCCCAGCAAAAGGGAAAGGCAGCTACTCATATAGTTAATGAGACAAAATATGGTCTAATGTACCTGCTGATTTCTTAATGTTTGCTACATGATACTATACCTTCAGTATGCTGGTTAACAGTGAACTTTCACGTTGCTTGTAGTATGTTATGAGTAGATAACACAATCTAATATAGCCTACTATGGAGCCTGTAGCCTAAACTGAGCAGCTACTGGAGCCAGACTAAAGCCTGATGATTTGGCTAGCAACATTACGAGCAGTCCAAGCAAAGAAATGAAATACAATGTTTTCATTTTACAATCTGAATGTATTAATTGTGCTAATAAACTCTCAGCTAGCTACATTTTTGCCATAGCGATGTTATATGTTAGCTTATAGCACGTGTGCTGCACACCTGAACATCTCAAGAAGTCAGTCACTCTGGTTCTCTGGGCTGTGTAGCGTCTCGTACAGAGACGGACAGAGCAGGCAGTTCAGTCTATGGCCGAGCCACAGCTGTACTGAGGTCAGCTGAGAACCTCTCACTGCTCGCTGTGTCGTTTCAACGCTTTCTGAATCTCATAAAACCCTGAGATCCTTCTGAGGAGCTCGGAGTCCTGACGCTAGTTACGAACGTCACAGGCGCTGATTACTGAAGTAATTGCGGAAAGCAACAATTAATAAGCGGTGATTGGAGGGTTGAGAAAATAACGCGGATCTTGGCAGATTTTGATTGGCCATAATTCACTGACAGCGCTCACAGAGAACAAATCAAATTTCATATAAAAAATGAGGCATAATATTCTGTCCTCAGATTTAAGACCAACATCATTCATTTGGAGACGAATGGACTTATTTGCATTTATAATCACTCCAGCTGGTTTACCAATACGTTTAATATGCAACGAGAAACTGTCAAACACTAGTCGTGAAGTCAGCTTCTCGTTCGAATTCTCCCGTTCCACCTTAAATGGCGCAGCTGTAACGTACATTCTGGCGCCTCAGGCATCATTTACTGAGGTGCGAGAGAAGCGGCTACAGCTGAGCTAAAGCTTAAAGCAGAGCAAAGTAAGTCTGCGTTTTCGTTTATATTATTATTATTATTTTTTTTTTTTGCCTATGCTAGCACATTGACACACACTGAGACTTACTGACAGCCAAGATGGTAAAACGGATATAAAATGCTTCGGTTGCCGACCCCTGAGCTAAGCCTGTAAGAGGTGATCAGCGCGTGACCGTTTGCTCGAACTGTCCGCGACTCAGTCAGGATTGCACAAAGGGCCCAGTTAACGACCGCGCTCTGTGGTTCAGATTTTGCGCGGATTGCCTGAAGCTTGTAGCGAAAATGATCGCTATAGCTACACGAAAATTTGTAGGCGCTACAGCTATTAACTTAACTACATTTCATAAAACTGTAGCGGCTACGGCTATTAGCTACAAATATCTGTAGCTAACTACAAAAAGTAGCGCGCTACTTAGCTACTCCCCCATCCTTGACTCCAGAGAACAGGTTTCAACTGCTCCGGAGTCCAGCGGCGGCGTGCTTTACACCTTTTGAGATGACACTTGGCCTTGAACATAGTGATCTTATGCTCGTGTGCAGCTGCTCCTATTTTCATGAAGCTCCCAATGCACAGTCCTTGTACTAATGTTGCTTCCAGAGGCAGTTTGGAATTCAGTAGTGCATGATGCAAAAGAGGGTGGGTGATTTTTACATGCTATGCGCTTCACTGTTAGGATGCTGCCATTTCAAAATAATAGGCCTTAAAGTTGACCAGGGCAGATCTAGCAGGGAAGAAATTCCATGGAGTGACTTCTGATAAAGGTGGCATCCTAAGACAGTACAACATTTAAAGTCAGTATGACGCATTCTCCTGCTAATGGAGACTTCATGACTATTTGCTATACACCTGTCAATTAAGGCTGTGGCTAAAACATCTGAACTCAAGAATTAGGAGGGGTGTCCTCGTATTTTGGCCATATAGTGTATATAATATCTATTAAAAGCGTGTTTATTTCCCCGGTGCTGCAGTAACAGTGTCTACTTTTCTGGGAAGGTTTTCACTAGATTTTGGAACATTGCTTTGAGGATCTGACTGCATTCAGCTTAATGAGTTTAGGTCACAAACACCACTTCAACTCATTCCAAAGATATTGGATGGAGCTCCATCTCTCCAGAAAGCACAGTTCCACTGCTCCACAGCCCAATGCTGGGGGCTTTGTACTCCTCTAGCTGGCACTTGGCATTTAGCTTGGTGTCCTTATGTTCATGTGCAGCTGCTCCAGTGTGTTCAATTCAATTGACAGTGCCTTTCTATAAAGATTTTATAGCTCAACATACAAAAATGTTTCTCAAATCAATTCAGAATCATTGAGAAACAGCGTTTCATTTGGTCTTTGAGACAGTGAGTGTCTGTTTTGCCAGTTGCCATGTTTGTTTTTGTTTATGAAAAGATAAAAAAAGAATATAAGCTGTGTGCACAATTGAACGCCTGTGTTAGCAATCAGTGCACCTTAAAGTAACTGAAATCACTCATTAGAAGAGGCATCTGGATACTGTGGACATATATAGTCCCCTCCACAAATATTGGCAGCCCTGGTGATTATAAGGGTGCCAACAATTGTCACGCATAGATTTGTACACTGTACAGTACACTGGACATTCGGAATGAGGAGGTTCTAGAGCAAATATACCAGATTTTCAACAAACATGCAATTCAACAGCCTTCAGCCTAGTCCAGAGTGACTTCCAATACAGGTTTTACCTACACTGAAGTTCTAAAGACAGGAAGAGGCATGAGGTATGTTCCACCACTGCTCCCCAACAAACAACAACAGCATGTAATAAAGCATATTCAGTGTACCAGTGTAATGACACTTTATCAGCACATAGTTTCTTTGATGGCTCCATAGAAGCTCTTTATTATTCTATTCTAAAGGTTGGTTGTGGTGTAAAACTTATGTATCCATAGCCGGGCAGGTGTCAGCTTAAAACTGCTCACTAAACCAAGCCCTCCAAAACAACCTACAGATTTATTGCTACACACTCTTTTTCCCAGGACATATCTAAATGATCTAAAAGAGTAAACTGGGCCTGGATTTCTAAATTTCCTAAAATGTCTAGGATTTGGCTTTGATTTCATACTGACATTTGCTTTCCATATTCTGCCCCGTGCACTCCTCCAGCCCCCAGTGCCCTCTATTTTTGAAAACCGAAACATGGTCACCTTGTATTTGAGATCTCTGTACTCAGCTTACTGATTAAAAGTTAACTAATCAATAATAGAGGACTACACAACATTCAATCTGATGAGTTTACATTCATTTGAAATCACTTTAAACACTGATCACATTGAAGATGATGCAGTATGATAACCATGGTTACGAGGTCAGGGTTAGTTTAGATCTGCAGTCCACTCAGTCTGTTTTGGTATTTTGCTTGTACTTTCCCATGTCTCTCAAAATCTCTCAGTTCAGCGCGCACACACACACACACACACACAATCCCTAACTAAGTAGACACTGAGTGGACAGTGAGATGCACTATATAAGCTTGTACAGGGTGATTCTCCACTTCAATAAGAGTGAACTGTGCAACGTGATTTTCGTCGGCAGTGAACCTCCAACAGCTCAGAGCATTCATCATTGGTTCAACGGCACTGGATGATCTCTGAAATCGCATTGAAAGAGCCTTGAGTACAGTGACACCTGACATGCTCAATCCAGTATGGGATGAATTTGACTATCGTGTTGATGTTGTCCGTATAGCTGGAGGAGGTCATATTGAGAACTTGTAAAATTACATAATAAACTTGCTTATATGCTTTTTAAGCAGTTTTCAATTTACTGCATTGTTCAGTATGATTCACAAGTTAAGTCATTTTGAAATTGGGTAAATCTTTTTGAATCACCCTGTACATAAGCCCTATTTTGCACCAGAACATGGGATGACGGAAAAAAATATTTGATAAATAGGGACAAAAATATCAATAAATAGTACTTTTTCAATGTTTAAAACCACAGGTATAGTACAGTAACATTCAGTATATCCTGAACTGCTTCCATTTGCACCAGAGGGGGCTATAAAACCCAAAACCTTTTTACACAGAATCCAATTTTTGGAGTTTTACAGACATAAAAGAATGCCAAAAGTTTTGAGGACATACACATTAACACTAGAGGGCATCTTTCACAACAGTGGTCATGGTTGCCCTTGTTTGCTCCTTCTAATGCTCTAAGCTTAAGAAGAGCTCCTCTGTAAGTCAGTGAACATTTTAGCAGAATGGGCTGTTACTCAGTATCTGTATCTGAGTCATACAGATACAGGAATTATAACCTTATCGCTTTGAATCAGTTTCTTCTTCAGCTTAATGTGAGAGTAAAAAAAGATAATAATACACTGGAGCGAAATATTCAGTGTATTAAAAAAAAACAAAAAACTGCTTTTTTATCTCTAAATATCTAATCAGAGGGAAAAGACCTCAGGACAGCTAAACATTACACTATGAATAAGAATGAAAAATGCTGTTTCTGATGACGTTTTCCTCATGTAGACTGTGTAAACGAGGTAAAACCAGGACTGGAGTTTCAGATCTCAGATCACTGATTAAAACAAAATGGACAAAAAGATACATTTGAAACATGAGATTAAAGCCAAGAACATACTTTTAATACATTTTTTTCTCCACTGTCTTAAAACATATTTACCAGCATTAAGCTAACCATAGTGGCACTTTCACAACGGGCACATACGTAAAATGGTATATTGTACAAAATTCTAGTCACTATTGCAATTTTGATTACAGCCACAATCACCACAGGTCTTATTATTATTACTCATTTTTCATTAAGGCACTTCCTGGTAGATAAAGGCAGAACAGAAGCTTTAAAATATGCCGATGCTTTCTCAGAAAAGAGGAAAAGAACATCTGGAACTGGAGGGAGGGGGAGAGAGTCTGGTGACAAACAATCAGAATATAAAATAAAATAAAAATACACAGCATGGACGTCTTTTGATATGTGTAGTAGATGGAACATCTGAGTCAGACCACTGAATCATATGTATAGTACCATCAATTAAAATGACAAAATACAGCTCGTCAGTAATGAGTCCAACTACGTTTACTCAGTCTTTATGATTTACATCATGATCATGAATCATGGTTTTCTTGAGTGCGATGCAAATTCAGAAAGGGAGCAACTTTAGGGAAAAAAACAGCTCAAGACATTTCTAACCTTTGGTAAGCTCTAAAAGCAACATAAAACTCCACAGTGACAGTTCTGAGAATCGCACAGTTTTCACGATGGAAGGCCTTGTTCAACTGAATTAAGAGTCCTTTTATGTGTTTAATCAGCGTCTTCCTCTTTCTCCATCCAAATTACAGTCGGTTGTGCCTTGCAATCAGAGCTATCTGTAATCAGCCACTTAGAAAGGCTAGAAGAGCAGATGGTGAAAAATAACATTCAAACTTCACTGACACAATCGAAGGTCAAGATGTGCAACGTCTTCTCTTAATGCTCAGGATGACACTGCGCACTCTACACTGCAAAAATGAGCATGGCAAGTAAAAAAATCCTAACTCTAGTGAATATATCTACTATTTATCATTATGAGAATGTTGTAATAATGATAAGATTATTCAAATTAACTGTACATTTTTTTACTTATTTTAAGTCATTTTATCTTGTGTAATTGTCTTATACTACTGACAGACGATTTAGCTTGTTTCAGAACACAAGGTAGATATTCTCTGCTTGTTTTAAGAAATAATGCTTGAAAACAAGCGAAGTTACCTCCTAACGTAATAAAATATTACTAGATAATACTACTTGCTTGCTTTTAATGAAGAGTTTGATGTAATATGTAAACATTGCAAAAGCTTTAAAACATGAAATTCACACCCCAGTCTGTATATGGAAACTAAGCAGCAAAAACAGCCCATTTTGATTTTTTTTTTCTGTGATGTAATGAGAACCAGCTAATTTACATATTCACATAGTTTCACATATTCAGTTCAGCTCCACCCACTCCAACTGAAGTTAGTGTTTCAACTCTTGCAACTCGTACCTATTGAATGACGTACAATACAGAGCAACCTATCAAAATAGAGATCATTTACATTATGATACACAAATATAAGTGGACCTCAGATGAAAATAATATATGATATGGGCCCTATAAAACAATTAAAAATATTTGAAAAGAAGTTGAATAAACTTAAAATATTCTTACAACATCCTCAGAATGAGAAATACTCACTGTATCACCTAGATTCAAGATGTTTTCACTTGTCAAGAGATTTTTTGCAGTGCAGTCCCACCAGGTCTCACATCAGTGGTTCCAATATAGAAAAATCACTAATGTTCCAAAAAACTGTAAGGCAAGCCACGTGCTGCGATACATGAATAAAAAGCACAGATGTTAAAAAAACGTACAAAAATCTGCTGAAAATCAGCACTTCAGACACTTAAAGGTGTGCGAGGAAAATAAGGAATACTATTTAACACGACGCTGTGGTGAGAAGTATGGAATGTTCTAGGAGTTGACACTTGGTTGGAAAAAATGCCTTTTTCTGCAGTGGACAGAAGAGCCCAACAGCAACTTCCTATATGCTCTATTTACTGGGTGAAAGCTAATTTACTCGGTAAGCTAACTCATCACTAGCCACGGGTCTCAAAAGCAAAACTTGAAAACATTCTTTGTGGTACCATTTACCTTTGTCTTATGCGCATCCGCAATTATTTGCATGTATCTTCTATTAACATAAACAAGCAGCGGCGAAATAAGCATTGGACAGTAGACATGGTCCTATGGAAATCAACATTAAAACCAGAAGAAACATAAAAGCAAGATGAATTTTCTTTGCAGGCATGATTTCTTACAAAGATAAAACATAAGACAATGCCAATGCGAATCCCACAGGAAGTGACCTCATAGCACAGGGAGGAATGCAGCAGACATTGTACCACAGATATGTGCTTTAAAAAGAGGTGAATGTAGTGGCCGTCAACAGAAACAACAATAAATCCTTTTTTTCTGCGCACGAAGGCTCTTGCACGCAATCTTTAGTGTAAAAATATATATACATATAATACTATCTGATTCCATTCACACAGGAAGAATAAACATCTAATTATTAAGGGAGCTGCAAAACGGATGCTGAATTTCATCGTGGCCAGCGAAGATCCGCAAAGTACCGTAACGAGTCGAGCCTTCGCCTTCTGTAGTCCTTTCGTTTTATCATTTTAGCCTTCAGCTAATTCAGTCTGCGCTGATTCTTCAGAACAGAGAAGAAGAGAAACAAGCTGAAAGGATATTGATAATAATGTGTTATAATGTGGTATAAGATCTGTTTTCATTCGGAATGAAGGCTCTGTCTCCAAATCCTCTGAGAAGGAAGAGGACTTTTAGCTCAGTTCTGGAGTCCTGATGAGGGTTGTTTTGTCCTGGGCTGAAGTGTGATGCGCTCCAGTCGGCCTTTGAGGCTCCGCACTAAAGATCAGTGACTTTATTCTCCAGTGCTGCTGCAATCTGCTGCAGTCTGAGAGTCAGCTGCTTACTCTGAGCGGCAGGATCGTCCTCCAGCGACGAGATGATCTGTGGAGGATTCACAGTGAATTACAATGCTGGAATCATCATTTAAAAGCCTGAATTAGCGTTAATGTCAAACCAGAAACATGCATAACATGATTAACATGCAAGTCCTGTGCAACAGGTTTCAAATAATTAGTAGAAATCTGAAAATAGATGAGCCCAGAGGGTTCTGAGAAAAGATGTAGATGATTCTGAGAAAGCACTGAGAGTGAAGTTGTTATAAAAATTGAAATTATACCTTGAGGCTGATAACCCAATGCAAAATAATTGTAAATAGTAAAAAGTGTATTATTTATGATGTCACACCATATATATATATATATATATGTATGTATGTGTGTGTGTGTGTGTGTGTGTGTGTGTGTGTGTGTGCGTGTGTGGAACATTGGCAGGGTCTGCAGTGGGGGTGGACTTACTCCATCGTAGTACTTGCTGGCATACTGATAGAGCTGGTGCAATGCGACCTGCGTGTTCAACTTGTCTGTATGAGACTGAAAAAGCAGAGGTGTGGGTTATTTCAACACTCATACACCAGCAACATGCTCTCCACTGAACACACACACAAGTAAGCACTCACCCGCGAGATCTCAGCCAGGTATGTGTTCATGTCCTGGTCACTGACCGACACCATCTGGCGAATGCCCTTGTAATAACTGTAATTTAGACAGACAGACAGATGGATAGACAAACAGAGACAAAGATACATTCAGAGAGAGAGAGAGAGAGAGAAAGATAGACACAGGTACAGAGAAAGACAGACAGACAAGCAGATAAACAAATATATAGACAGACACAAACATACATTCAGAGAGAAAGAGAGAGAGAAAATGTTCAATATGTAATAATACTCATTAAGAATGCTTTTTCAAAATACATGATAAATGATAAATGTATAGTTGTATGCAAAAGTCTAGGCGCCCTTCGTCAAATGACGTTTGCTGGTTTCTCAGTAAAGTTAACACGTCCTCTACAGAGAACACACTTCTGCACATTTTCAGTTCATTCCATTTAAATTTTTCATTTCATTCCATTTCATTACAGTTTCAGAGACACTGGACACTCCACAATGTTTGATTCCCATCTCATTATTCATTAATATTCCCACACTTAAATTCAACTTTGGTAATTCAAATGTAGCATTATTTATCACGTCAGTAAAGTGGTCTGAATTGAAAAATAAAAAAGGCTTATGCAATATGAGAACTATCGGCAAGTTACAGACAAGATATTTCAATTAGAGAACAAACTCACTCGTCAACCATTTTCTTATATGTTGATATCTCCTTCGCGTAAAGCAGCTTGTTGCTTGGGGACTCCTAAGAGAAATATAGAGAAAAAGATGACATGAATGAAAAACGGAGAGGAGTTGGAAGAGATGAGTGTCCACAAAGGAAAAGATAAACAATGTTCAACAAGCAGCAGGTACAGCACACAATATATTGTAGCGAGAGTCCACCATTACACAAAGAAATACTCAGTGGAACTCAATGGAGCCTATGTAACCATGGACAATGGTTACAAACCACATCATTGAGGAACACTACCTTAAACAAGCGTGCACTTCATGTATCCAAAAGTATCGAGACACCCCTTCTGATAAGTGAATTCAGCTACTTTAAGGTGCAGCCATTGCTGATACAGGTATGCAATTGTTACATATAGCTTGTATAATTTTCATAGAAAGACACTGCTAATAGAAGAGGATGCTCTGGATCAGCTGCATGTGAGCCTAAGATCACCCTGCTTGATGCCAAGGGTCAGCTAGAGGAGTATAAAGCCCCCGAGCACTGGACTGTGGATCAGTGGAACTGTACCTCTGGGTGTGATGGAGCTCTATCCAGTACCTTTAGGATGAGTTAGAGTGATCCAGATCTAATCATCCAACATCAGTAGCTGACCTCACTAAAATTCTTGGGGCTAAATGCAATCAAATTCTCACAGCAATGTTCTAACATCTAATATAACAACTTCACAAAAGAATAGAGGCTGTTACTGCAGCAAAATGAAAAGGTATCTACAGACTTTTAGACATATACCATACACTTCCCTGCATGCATGCATCTGGTGCTAATGCTCACCCGGGAAAGTTTGTGCTCAGTCTTGGTGCAGGCATCCATGAAGGTCTGGGCGATGACGGAAAGCGATGCGTCCACTACCTCAGTCACATGGACATCAAAGATGAAGTGAGGGTTCTTGAGGATGTTCACCCAGAACCGAAGAGGCAGACTGCAGACACAGCACACAAACAGTCATGTGTGTTTAATACACAGTTTCACCTTATTTTGGGAAAAATACTGAGAATGCTGACCTTTGAACAGCTTTAATGTGCCCTCATGACCACTCAACCATGAGGGAACAATGGTACGAACACTACGAAACCCCTTATTTGTGGGATCAAGCCAATGTTTTGTTTATACACCCTCAACACTTTGGTGACAGCTTTTGAAAATGTTTAATACATACCATCGAGGTGACACATTTCCCCATTAAACACAAGGATTACCCGCCTGTTACACCATTCGTGTGATCTGCCAATACCATCCGGGTTCCCTTATTTTCCTTAAGCAATTCTTAACACAGCCCCCGAAAAAACAAAAAACCCACCTCAGACCGTAAGTCTCCCTTACACTAATCTGGGTTGAACTGTGCAAGTCATCAACCAATTATAGACGTACACTCACTCAATTGAGCAACAAATATACAGTGGGGTCCAAAAGTCTGGAGACCACTGGTAAATATTCTTCTATTTTGCGTATGTTTTCTAATGTAATACATCACTTTTCATTATAGATTATCTTATCACCGTAACAATTTGAGTGAAATGTAGATAAATCTGTAACATGCATTTCAGAGTTTCTTAGTATTTGGTATGCCCCCTTTTGCTTTCATGACTGCATGCACTCAAGCTCCACAGCATCTGATGAGATCAATTCCATCTTAGAGTCATCTGAGCATATGCGTCAACAGAAGAGATGAGACTAGACCTTGTGCACAGACCTTAACATCACGAATGTCACAAACCTCCTTAGATTTGAACAGTGACCTAGAAATAGTGCAGAATCTACTGTATTTTACTTGCCATAAACTTTTTATGGTATACTTTTTGTTTAAAAAGCTTATTTGCTTATTTGCCATGTTCCTCTGCATTAATATAACTACTTCTATAGCATTTCTGAACTGAAACCTTTTCAATATAACAGGCTTCCACTTGCACTCAGGCACTAGTAAAACAGGCAGAACTCTCTCATGCATGTACCTGCAGGAACTGAGCTAAAGCCTTAAGAGAACCTTCAGCAAAAGCTTAACAGTTCATCCCTAAAGTGCCTTACAATGAGCATTTCTCACCTCCCAGCTTCACCCATCCTCCAGAAACAGTGACTCCACAACGAAGACTATACTTGGCATACAGACCAAACCTAATCTAACATTAATACGCAAACTGGATTTCAGGCTACTGTGATTTCCTGCTGGCTCCTGAGAGCAAACAGCAAAACCAACAGAATATTCTGGGAAAAAAATCAAATCATTATTTCGGCAAAACCTGCTCTTCATACCAAGGAGTATCCTTTGACAAATATGAACTTGAATGTTGCAAAATACAGCCAGTAGTATTAAAAAACAGGTGCTTTATGTAAACAGCTTTAAATGTATTTTTTTCCCCAACTTGACTGAAAAAAAAAACAGCAAGAAAATTCAAACCTCAGAAGAATGGTGGAACTTTTAATGGGCGGTGCATACAAGGTGCTGAATCATTCACTTCTTCCACCTCTTTCACAATACTTTTTCTTTACATCATCTCTTCTCCATTAAAAAACGCCCAGCTCTGTTTCTCTCACTCTTCCTGTGGTCATAGAGAAACACTGACGCCCACATCGGACTGCAGCACAAAGCAGGAGGTGAATTCTTAATGAGCCATGGCTGAAGGTTAACCCTGGCCAGGCTGTTTAAGAATTTATACACTGATGCCAAATCTCCTGAATCTCCAGTCCTGAGCTGGATCGAATCCATCTCATACAGCACATCTCCCAGCCCTAGCCATGGGCCAAATGCATTAACAAGGGATACAATTATCTCCCTTTTGTTCTGCGAGCTCACTGATGCGGAGACTCTGTTTAAGCGGCCACCGGCTGCACCTGACTCCAAACGGTGAGAAGACAGAAGCGGAACAGAAGCGAGCGCCTCTGGTGAGCTGAAGAAGAATTCCCCTGTCAATCTCCCCAGCGCTTACTAAACAAGACACGCCGTGAAGATTTTATCTGCACTCGCCAGAGCCTGAATAATTCAATCTGGACTGGGTTCAGAGAACTTCCGCTCACGTCTCAGCGGCTGTGAGCCCGTCTGGTTCTAAGCCGGGCTTCAGACTGAGGAGATTTGAGGAACATCGCAAGATGAGTTTTTGGTCGAGCGCTAACAGAATCAGTGAGAGAGGTTCAGTGCATTCTGTCTCGGTGGTCAGCTGTTGTGGTGTGTAGAATCACTATTAAGTATATGTATTTTTTATCAGTTCAAGCTTAATCCATCACCTGCGTGTCAGCAAGTATTTGCATTCATTTAGCTCAATGAAGCTCTCGCCTTTCAGGTCATTAATACCTGCAGATTCGCTGGGTACTCTGTATCTTTTTGGATTCTGCTCCTTATGCATTTTGTAAGTCACTGGCTTGTAAATACAAAAAGGATAATTCAATATGGCCCAGCTAAGAACAGTAAGAGGCTACAGTAATAGCATTAAATTTTAAATGTTCCATCCTACTGATACCAATTTAGAATTGCTCACAGTGGTGGTGATGGGAACCACACACCTGAAATGTGTAATGCCTCTAAAAGCTTCCTTACAGAAAGTTATTGCACTAAATGATTAAGAATTTACTGCTTGATGCCCAAGACATTGTTTTACGTTAGTTCTGAGAATAGTTTTTGGCTTAAAATATAATTATATAATTTGGCCTAAAATCGGCAGAAGAGTCCCCCAAAAAATGTACTTCTCCAGATTTACCACTAGTTTACCATCATCAGTATTACCTATAAAAACTCAGAAGACACATGTAGGATCACTTGGTTATTCTATAAATAAAATGGCTATATTTGTTTTGTAGATATCATGACCTCTGGTTCCTATCGCCACCACTGTAAAGAAATCTCTGTACGTTTCTTTACAATGTACCATTTCACATCAAACCTCTAGGAACAACTTTGTTTATATCGCAACACTAGAATTATACAAAAATGTCAAAATTCGGTGGAAGACAGGGGCAGAACATGTAGGGACAGAACCATTCCGGCAGTTGACTAACCAGAACATAGCAATCACAGCACGCTGGGCTCATCGGGAAGGGGGGCTTAAAGATGCAGGAGCTCTAACAGAGTTTTTCAGAGGGTGAAAAGAGATGTACAGTATGAGAAAATTAAACACTGATACATTCGAATCTATTCTAGTAGACCCCAAAATGAAAATTATGAACTCTAAAGGGAACCTATTATGCTCATTTTCAGAGTGAACACTGTGCACTGCAAAAGTGACGCATTTAATTTACTTGATTTGAACACATAAATTCCTTGTGGATGACTAAAATATGTTACATCAACATAGTTTTGTCTTTTGGTTTACTTTTAGAAATAGTTCACTGATTTGATATTTTATTCATGTGGAAATGGACAGATTTAGTTATGTACAGAGCATAAAAGAATGCATCAGTTTTTATGAAATTTTACTACAGTAAAGCTCCTTTATTTGGTTATCTTTCTCCTAGCAGTGTGTAACCCTAATAAAGTCTCTGGGTCTCACCTGGCCAGCCCATTCTAAAAGTTCTACCTATGCCCCTGGCTGGTAGATATTTCTTTGTGATACTGGCTGTCATGGGAAAGCGTCTCTTTCTTTGAAAATGTGACTCTTCATGGAATGGATGAATATAAATCAGAGAGAATGTGATGTTTTGAACAGCAGCTCTTTTTAGACAGAAGAAGGGTGGAATGCGGGAGGTGTTAGATGTGCTGATGTTTAGTGCGACATTGCAAAAACTGTAAAACAAACCTGTTGGTCTTCCATATGTGGATGGTCTCTTCATCCACATTGTCATGTTTGTGCGCTTGCTCATCCAGGAAGTCGAAGAAGTACTTCACAGCTGGAGGAACCGTGGTGCCTGAACACAACACGCTGCTGAAGAAATCATCCACAAACTGCTGCAGAGTGCCCTGTAACGTACGCACACACAACAAAAGACATTTAATCTTCACATGCATTCCACTGTCTGATTCTTCCCCCTTCAGTGCCGAGTTTACTTTGAAATTTGTGTTATTAATTTTCCCCCGACTTCTAAAATCTCATCAAAGAAAAGAAATGCTGAGTTCTTGTTTTTTGCACCTTGTGTTTATTATACAAACTACCTGCATTTTTTATGTTTCTGTAAGTTAGAAAACATTCCCATCTATGTAATGATATATTCTCATCAGCTGTGAATGAAAAAAAAAAAAAAATCTGTGGTTGTGATTCTCAGAGAACAATATTAGGTCCTATATTACCTTATCTTTTATCCTTATACTGTCTATCTAGTTAATACTATCTACATACCAAATACCATTCATCAGGCACCTTAACCTAAACCAAGCTCTTTACTCTTCTGCTCAGTCAGCTAGTGTAGGTTTACCTTCATGGAGAGCAGCCTGGTCAGGTAGATCTCAGTGATTGCTTTAGTGGTGGCTTTGTCCTTCATGCTCCCTCTTTTGGACTTCACTTCATCCAGCTCATCTGCTGGCCGCACCAGATGGAACACTTTATCATCTTCCAGCAAAGCGCTTTCTAGAAAATACAGGAGCATGTGTCTATTATCTATACATGAAAATCATATATACACAACGTCTTATGTAATCTAGGCTCACTGGACAAAAATTGGTCGCATGCATCATTTCTTTTCTAATACTTCGTCATATGTGCTCCTTAATAATAGCACCGATCCTATCAGATAAGGATTACACAGTGTCTTGAGTTAGTTTCTGTTCATTTTAGCCCCCTCTTCCATGGAGTAAGTGCAGTTTTCAGCCAGTCTGTCAGCATTTCCCCTGCAAATTTAAAATTAAGATTGAGGTCTGGTGACTTTACTGGTCAATGAAAGTTTTCCAGGGTTCCATCAAACACAAATACGGCCTATACACCCTACATCTGTCATCACGAAATAGTGAGAGCATCAATGTTGTGTTCTGCTTGAACATGAAGTATGAAGTACAAAGCTAGTAGAAGAGTGGGCTAAAACTGATCAAGAGACTGGTGTACTGCTTAGTTGACAGGATTGATGCTGTCATTAAGGCAAGGGGATAAGTAAATAAGTATTAGAGCTTATACAATGTACTACGAATACAAAGCACATACTGTTTTATATAAACAACCAGGCTGGGAATCACTAGAGGCCACTTGACGCAATATCGCAGTACTTGAGCCATGATATGATTCTACTGCAATTTATCAAAATGCATGGTACGCAAAGTACTGCACTATGATATATTGAGATATAGAGTAAGTTGGACCCTAAATTATGTCTTTGAAAGACATTTTATCTTTTTTTTATCTAATAAAGTTCACAAAAGTTTAGTTCATCTCATGTCAATATTTTTTTATGGAAGCAAAACAAGACAGTGAATCAGACACAACAACATTAAAAAAAAAAGCTTCCTTGGACTATTACATATTGTCGAACTGGGAAAAAACTCCAAAATATTAACTTTTTGAGAGAAGGAAGAAAAAAAAACCAACATTCTTAACGAGTTTAGTTAATTTTGGGCCACTTCTGTTGGACCATTCATCATAAAACACACAATGTAAAGGACAGCGTACATCAATCAACCAATCATTTAATAAAAAAATACATATATGGAAAAAGGTTTGGTTCTGACAGCAACATTATTTTAATTAATTTACAATAGTAGGTCAATGCATTGTTCGGAGTCTTGCCCAAGGACTCTTGCTGGTATCTCATTGGTATAATTAATCTTCATTGATCATTAAGTAATCTCTTGATTTTTTTTCCATCCAAAGTGTGATTATTGTGATACTATGTTGTATTGCCTTTGTCTCCAACCCCTAGAGACTATGACATAAAAACACTTTTTTCCCCCCTCATGAAAGATGCCTGCATTGCTGCTGAAGGGTCAGCCATTAGGAATAGGAGAGCACAGACATGAATATACTGACTGGATGGGCTCTGTTATGAAAACAATCTTGCTCTCTCTCTCCAGATTCTGTATTTCTCCTTCCTTATTTGCTTGGTATGTTCCTCTGCATTAATTATCTACTTCTATAGATTTCTGAACTGAAACCCTTTCAATAAAATGGGCTTTCACTTGCACTCTAGCACTAAAAAAAACAGGCAGGAACTGAGCTAAAGCCTTAAGACAACCTTCTGCAAAAGCTTAGCATACTTTAACTAAGTTCATCCCTAAAGTGCATTACAACGAGCATTTCTCACCTCCCAGCTTCAGCCATCCTCCAGAAACAATGATTCAACAGCAAAGACAATACTTGGCATACAGATCAAATCTATTCTAACATTAATATGCAAACTGGATTTCAGTCTAATGGCTACTGTGATTTCCTGCTGGCTCCTGGGATCAAACAGCAAAACCAACAGAGCGTGGAAATATGAACTGCTCATTATTACTGCAGTTTGCTTTGTTGTACTTTGTTTTGGTTTATGAAATGAATGAATACAATTACAAACGACATCAACAAAAAATAAACCTGAAGGCTGGCCATGACCATGCTCCATAACTGAAAAATCTATATAGAAAAATGGGACAGCACTAACATAATTTAGCTAAATGAGCACATTTTGATGTGCAAGATACATCTTCTAGATGCGCTGGGACGCATCATCAGTGATGTATCCTCGGATCCTCAAGTGTTTCGGGTCTCTCAACATCAGACAGCCTCGCCCAGGCGACCCAGCCGGGGTTGATCAGGCAGTTGATCAGGCAGCTCTCCTGATCCAAAGGCACCTGGTGGCTTTCTCTGCAGCTTCGTTCGCAGATTGAATGGCCCTCCTCTTTGACACCCCCATAATGCCCAGTTGGTTGAGGACTTTACAGAGTGAGCGTCCTGCAAAGCCTCTGCAGCCCACCTCTATAGGCTCGTAGTATGTCTTCCAGCCTCTGTCCTTGCACTTTTCCACCAGCTCCTGGTACTTGGCGCGTTTCCTCTCATTTGCTTCCTCAATACACTCTTCCCAGGGCACTGTGAATTCCAGCATGATCAGTTGTTTTGTCACTTCAGAGGTGATGATCATGTCTGGCTGAAATGATGTTACTACAATATGTTGTAGGAATTTAAGCTGCTTGCCCAGGTCGACTTGCAGCTTGCCAGTCAGAGGCTGTGTAGAGGAGGCCTGCCCTTCTCTCCAGCTCTGATGAAGGAGATCAACTTCCTTGGGGTGTGGTGGTGTCTGCTAGAACTGATAGCAGTGGCTATACTCTCAGCACCTGGTCATGCCGCCAACGATAGTGGCCTTCTCCCAGGGCCTTTGGGCAGCTGCTGAGGAGATGTTCTAGGGTTCCTCTACCAGAGCACAGGGGGCAGGAAGGTGTCTCGCTCTTGCCCCAAACGTGAAGGTTTGCTGGGCTTGGTAGGGCATTGTAGACAGCTTGCACAAGGAACCGGATGAGATGGCCGTCCCCCTGCATGATGTTTGACCAGGTAACCTTACGCTGCGGTATACTCTCCCACCTCGTCCATTCTCCCTGCTGCCTGAGCCCTACTGTTCTACTCATGCGCTCTTCCTCCACTCCTGCTCGGACCTCAACCTGGATAAGGTGGTGCCTGTCCTTACCCTGGGCCGTGCCCACCTGTGTCTTAGGGAAGTAACCAAAGCCCACTCTGCCAGTTGCCATGGTATCCACCAGCGCCTTTTGTCTTAGGTGTGACTCTGCCACCTCCACTGCTTTCTCTGCCCTCCATTTCCTCCCTGTTCTCACTTCAATGCCAGCTGATGACACCTTCTGGTCCCTGGAGTCCCTGTATTGTAGGGCTTCTCTCATTCGTGCCACCATGAACTCTTCAGTGAGGCCGCTGAAGGGGAGTTGCAAGGTGTTACTGGTCCCATACAGTGCTGCGCTGTTGAGGCTGCGGGGAAGGCCTAGCCACTTGCGAAGGAAGCCGCTGAGCTTCCTTTTAAGGGACTCAACTGTTGTTAGTGGAACTGCGTAAAGCAGTAGAGGCCACAGGACTTGGGGCAGAATCGCATGCTGGTAGATCCAAGCTTTAAATCTGCCAGGCAGTCCTGACTTATCGACCTCAGTGAGCCAGGCCTCAAGGTCTTTGTTGGTCTTCTGAGTGGCAGCAGTGTCTCTCAGAGTTGAGTAAAACAGCTTCCCCAGGCTCTTGACGGGTTGCTCTGTGATGGAAGGGATGGCAGTTCCAGAAAGGGAAAAGCGGAATTTGTCAACCACCTTCCCCTTCTTAAGCACCATGGACCTTGATTTGGTTGGCCAATATTCATAGCAAGGGCGAAAAGAATAACAGAGATGATACAACCTGTTATTATCCCTTTTTCCAGTCGATGCCAGTCCGATGTCTCTGACCCAGAGGTGACCCTCAGTCTGAAACTATTGTAGTAATCCAGGATCAGGTCCTGGACTTTGCTGGGAACATGGTGCCGGTGCAGTGCACGCTCGACAAGTCTGTGCGGTATGGACCCATAGGCATTAGCCAAGTCCAGCCACAGAACGACTAGGTCGCCTCTGTTTTCATGGGCTTCTCTGATGACCTGCGTAACTAAACCAGTATGCTCCAAGCAGCCGGGAACTCCAGGAATCCCACCTTTCTGCACTGAGGCGTCGATGTAGCTGTTACTGAGGAGAAACTCTGTCAATCTTTGGGAAAGAATGCTGAAAAAACACCTTCCCTTCGACACTCAGCAATGAGATTACCCGAAACTGATCGACTGATTCTAGTATAATTACGCCTAATTACAGCACTAGCAAAAAGTTTGCTTCTGGTATGTAGCATAGAATACACAGTGCCCTCCGATCTTTGCAACTCTATTTTGGATCCAGCAGTTTGTAAGCTTTTCCATAAAATTTAGCAGGTCGTTTAGCATTTCTTAAAAGGCCCATATCTTACATTTTTCTGACATTTTATTCACAAGGTCTACTAACTAAGTTTGTATGGCTTTATGTAATAAAATCACTTGTAATTCTTTTTTATATTTTACCATTTCCTAACCTTTCTTCATCGTTTATTAAACAGATTGCACCAATAAAACCAATATATGTAAATGCACTCTGTTCTGCTTGGCTGCCCTGTATTATACCTCATTCAAAAAGCAGTCAGGTTAACGCGTCTTAATACAACTTAAACCGAATAACTTGTATTGGCAGGACTGTAAGCGGAATAGGTGGGTGTGTGTAAATGTGCTGGTTTGTATGAAATATAAATAATGTATTTCGCAGTGTAGTTTCTATATCTGGACTGGGTAGTAACTGGTATGTTTTGAAACTATAACAATACAACCACAAAGCTCTTATTTTGAAAAAAGCGAATAAAATTAAGTTTTCCATAATACAGGGCCTCTGAATGTTACCAGTTGCTGACACCCAACTAAAATCTTTTTTTTTGATATTATTGCTCTGATTTCCTTGTAATTGATTTCTTGCCATTTCTCTCCATTCCTATCAGTTCAAGCTGTATCCCATTGCGGACTACTGATTACCTGATTCAAATTTTAATCGGTAAGGCAATCTAAAGCATAGTGCTGCAGTCACACATGCGAGCATTTATTCCACACACTCGGCTTCTAATCTGCAATCAATCTCATGCTCAGCCGAACACCTTAAATGTCGCTTCCCAAAGAGTTCCAGCATCGACCCTGCTCCTCCCTGCACTGCTGCACACTTGGGACGTTCCTACCTCTGGGGCTTCTGTGTTTTTCTGAGATGAAGGAGCACTCGGTGCTTTTGCATGGCTGCAGAACAGTCCACTCAAGGGGCTGTCTGGATCCCTGACAGCTTTTGCAGCCATGCCCTGTTACACAACGGACATCTAACACAGCACAGCCCTAGCACTGCATCACTTTTGCACCAGCTAAACATCAAAGCTCCTCCAAATTTCTTTACTTGCTTAACATGGTAGCTCAGTGAATCTAATTTACACATTTTCCCCTAACCGCATATACAGAGAGCCAGCCAAGACGTTTTTGGCGTCGTCTTTAGTTTTGCACTGGGGCTATGAGGCTAATGCAGCTAACAAGTCATGGAAGATTATGGACACTAAATAGCATCATCCTATTACATACCTAAATCATCACGCACATGCCTCAACTCATGATGGGGTGTTGAGTAATCTCAGATAGACTTGCTTTGTGTGGTTTCTGACACTGTATGACACTCTTGTCTATAAAAATGGACAAAAGTATGATGCATGCTTAGAACAGCAGTAGCAGTCTGCTGATTTTGTCCGCCTGATACAATTTTTACATAATTGCCTGATTGCAATCATTTAAACTGACCAGTTATTTTCCACAGTTGTTGGCTTTCTTGCTGTAACACCTGCGATTCTCAAGCCCATACTCATCCTAAGTTTGTTTTTGATAGATATAAAAGCACAAACAGGTCTGGTCCAGTTTAGCTTTGTTTCTATCACATAATAACAGAGCAAATCTGGGAGTTTGAGGTCTTTTCCATAGCCAAAAACTGCCTTATCATCTAGTTTATGCACACTCACGACAAAAAGACAAGAAATTCTGTGATGGACTGACTGTTGGGATTTTAAATGCCATATAGTGTAGGCCCAGCTTTATGAAAGCAACTAAGTTTCTAACTTTTGACTTGCTATAAAATGCTCAGATTACAGCAGTGAGTAATGTCTGTTTATTTGAGCTTGATCTGGTCTGTCTTCAGTTGGGAGCTAATCGACAGGTAGGAATATAGCCATTTAGCCAATTTGACCACTTTAGGCTTACAATGAACAAAAAAAAGACATTTAAATTGTTAAACACAATTTAACTATATGGTAATTAATCACCAGCTAAAATTTCATGATTGTGACAGGACTTCTACGTATGTCCATTTGTATAATTTTCATGACTAAACAATTTAGGTCTATGTCTATGGATATGTGTATCTTTTTACACTATCTTTGTTTGTAACTGGTTTTTGTAACTGGTATAACTGGTATTCCCAACCCTACATATAATAGAAAAGAAAACCCACTCTCTTCATGGCTGTCCTGGTTCTGGTCGAAAGACTGTTGAGTGTGCAGAACTCTGGACAGGACTAGGGTAGCGTTGTCTCTCACCTAAAAAACACAACACATACATACAATCAGCTTTAAATCCATGACAACGATACAGCTACTGACTACTGGAATGAAATTCTTTTCCCTTTTAGAAGTGACTCTCACTCTACTTGTTCTGTTAGAAATATAGAATATAGAAAAAAAAACAGATAAATGTATTTTAAGCTTGTGTGTTGGGGTGTAATCTAAGACATGTGTAGAGTGTACTGGTTAGTTTCAGGTTGGTACTCACGTTGTAATGTGCCAAAGTGTTGAGACGTTTCCACCTGCCCTCCTTTTGTGATGTCAGGTCCAAGTCGGACAGAATCTGCCCTGTTGAGCCTGGACGCCACTCTGTGAAAAGGAGATGCATTTTACAGCACATTACACAGAATCAACTTACGTGTAGTTACATTAAGTTGTGATCAGTGAGGCGAGTTACATGCTAACTGCCTCGATAGCGATAACTCACCCAGAGCGACACTGTCCACGATGGGTCTCTGAGAGTAGGGAAGGTTCCTGTAAACCTGCTCAATGATTTTCTCCTTCACCTGGGAGATGGTGTCACAGTTCAGTACCTTCACTGGAGTCACGTCAGGACCCTCGCCATGGACCAGCACCTGCAGAGTCTGAGAGGAGCAAGCAGCAATCAATAACTAACTTGAAAAGGTTACCAAGTTAAAAAGGTCATTTTATTTTATTCCGTTTTATTTTATTTTCATTTACTCAGATAAATGGCTTTACATATAATTTTACGCAGACATTTGTGCAGCATAAAAATAATTTAAAAAGAAGGCTAGGTGTCCCCAAACTTTTGAGTGGCAGTGTATACCACTGTGTGTTCAGGTTTGAACATGAATCTACTGTCACTCAGGTCACGTTGACATCAGCAGAAAATGGACAAAAACTTTGCAGCACAGCAATCCTGAGTTCATTGCAGGTTAATGGGTATGCTCACCAGGACAGAGTACTCCACATCATCCCCCAGCAGGCCTGTGTCATTCAGAGTGTACTTGGCCTTCTTCATCTTAGCATCCACCGGCCCTTTTTCCACCTGGTGCTTTATAGCTTTAAAAAGCTTGTAGAGCGGCTCACCAGCTGAGTCCTGAAAGCACATGCAAGCACGCATACCCAAGTTTTTACCTAGTTTCAAGTACAGGAAATAGATGGTGTGTGCTAAAGTGTTTGAAGTGTACTAAACTGGTAGCTAAAACGGAGCTTACCTTGAGGAACTGGTAGAGGCAAATGGACATCCAATTACACAGCATCCTCTCCACTACTGTCTCTGACCTACAGACAGGACACAAACACACAGACCAACAACATCAGTGTTTCAGATGCTTCAGTATTGTTTTAAGTAAACTGTGAACTAAAGCATAGAATCATTTAGACTGATATTGCACAATGCACACGGTTTCTAGCAATCGACTAATACAAACTTGCATGTGGTAGTGTACTGTACTACAGTGTAAATCTGACATCACAACTGAGTACATAAATGTGACAGGAGGAAATACATAAAAACAAGACCATTATAAATAACATTATAATAAACTCATTCTACATTTGACGTTCAGCAGTTACCTTTTATGCATTTTTAGGCCGATTATGCATTTTTCCAAGTCCCATATTGTATCACTATAAAGCACTCATTAGAGTAAATGTGGCAAATATAGCAGTCAGAAGATACAACATCCTAGACTTGAAAGAAGTTCTAGCTCCAGAGGAGTCATATTCCAAATATCACTTTGATATTTGCCCAAATGTACATAGATGCAAGCTGACGCATTGTTGCAGGCATGTTTGTGAGCAGAGCTCAATGCGAGGACAAAAGTTTGCAGTTAAGTTTGCACAAAAGTTTGTGTTGAAGTTTTAATCAAACTAGTCACAGTCCTACTACATTACATTACTCAACCTGGAGATCCCCTTTCCTCAAGTTTTTAGTTTTAGTTTAGTTTAACATCATGCCCCTCCCTTTACCTAACACGAAGGCATCTGACCCAGTTAATCAAAGACATCTGAAGAAGTTAATTAGCTGGAGCAGGCGTGGCCGATGGTGGTTGGAATTAGACTCTGCAGAACAGTAGATCTCCAGGACCAGGCTGGGTGACCACTGTTCTATATCTTTAGAGCTGGATTGTACACCTCTGAAAGGGAGTTGACACTGGCAATTAGGCTCTCCATTTTGTTTAAAATCGATGTAACTGACTGTCCCACCCCACAAGGTATCCTACTGACTGACACAAGCATATGTCAGAGTATGCTAAGCCAAAATCTAAAATCTGGTGAAATTTTTTTAAACGTTTTTAATGGAAACATATTTTTCATGCACTGTCTGTTGTCCATCTATGTTTCATGTGCACTGAAATCACTGGCAAGAAATGCATTTCTAACAGATAATAAAATGTCCTTGTGAATGCAGCCTTAATCTCATTTACTTCTTCTTCTAGACACCAATATTTTTGGTCCAGTTAGAAATCAGTGTCAGTCTTTATTAATTTTCTCATTTATGAAATTCAGCTCCTGAGAAACACTTTAATTGTCTAATTGTTTAATTGTCTAGCTTCACTCGTGTCTCACTCATCTCAGCCCAGTCTTATTTTCATGATGTTTACATAAAGTATAAGATCTTTTCTGCAATTTTCTAGAATGAGCAGGAGTGTTTAAAAGGAGACCTCATGTTTTTTTTGTCTTCAGCACTTTTTTATAATGAAATGCCTCTGTTAATCTTTTTTGTCCTCCTAAGGGAAGTTTAGGAGAAAGAATTTGGAAATCTATGATCATTAACAAAATACTAGATCTATAAGATTTATATGATCTGCTTTTTTAATCCACAAACATCTTAAGACATTATTCCCTTTCATTTTACTCAGACCTGTGGCCAGATTGATAAGTTGGCCAGACTCTCAAAAAAGCAGATACCCCCAGTAGACAGATAGGTTGAGCAGTCAATCCTCACCTGCGCAGCATCAGTTTTGGGTTCTTGCTCTGAACATACTCTTCCATCAGCTCCAGCAGCAGGGTTCTCATGATGTCTGTGTAGTACTCCAGCTTTCCGTGCAGGGCCACGGTCAGCAGTGAAGCAAAGTACACCTTATTCCTGGCATTGAACTCCTGCCGGCTCTCCAGAGTGCGAATAAACTGCAGCACAGATATGATCAATATCATGTATGTTTGCATATCAAAATAGATCAAAAGTCTGCATCAAAAATGTGTTCTAGTAGGTGACTGACAACTGGGCAATGCTACAAAGGGAAGTTAATTTAAATATTACTAATTATGTAAGACGTACATTGATAAGGAAGGTCTTGCTGTTGAGCAGGTTGGAGAACTGGTTGAGGGCCTGCTCCACGATGGCTCTGCGGTTTTCAGGGATATCCAGTTTTCCTGTGATCATGACGTCGTTGGCCCCGTCTTTAGAAGGCAGGAAGAAGACTCGGTCTGTGTAATTCTTATAGTCCAGGAATGGAATACGAGCCTCGCTTAAATCACTGGTGTGGTCTTCCATCTCAATCATCAGATCTGAGAGAAAGAGTGATAGAACCTTTTTTGTCTTGATTGACAGAAATTTTTGCTGACTATAAGAATAACAAAAGTGAGAAACACAGAATACAGAAGAACCTTCTGTAATCTTACTGCTACCAATGTTAAAGATAGAACGAAAACTGCCTTTAACTACTTAACCCCTAGGCTAACTGGTGTATGTAGCAAAAGTTTCTAACCTTTTCAGCACACAATCATGATATACAATACCACCCCAATAGCTTTATGCAAATGAGAAGCTAATTTCACTGGACAGTAGCCAAGCAAATGTGATGCCATGCCATGTCCACACACTGAAACCTGCTGAGAAGTTTTACTGCTCAAATGCCCATCAAGCAGGAGAGAATTACAATATTCTGAGCGGCCGAGCCAGGAATGTTTCAGTCACGTTTCAAATGAAAATGAAATGCAGCAGACTCTTAATCACCTCCCACAGTCTAGTCCATTCCATCTGAAGTAGTCCACTTTGTTTCTGTGTCACCAGACTTTAAGGAATGGCTAGTCGTTTGTGGTTACCTTAGCCTAACATGGACACCAGAGTGATTGATCACATAAAGCCACAGTCTTGGGGCCTTGAGTGTAAAATAATGTGGACCCACTGGTACTGTTATTGTGAATGACTGTAACATTTTCCAAATTACAGCAGTGTCTGATGGTTGGAGGCACTAGTATATGGGATGCACATATGAGACAAATGACTTGAGAAATTCTGCAAAGCTGAAGATGGATTCTTATTTGAAATTCTCGCCCCACCTTAAAAGGTGCAGTGTTTACATTCAGGTTAGGCACCTGTACATTAATAAGAAGCCACTGGAAACCTACAAAAATAGGTTTACTTAAGCATCTAAAATGATTATTTTTAGACCACCCACATATATACATATAGTTGCTTTCAAAACATCATAGCTCCAAAAAAGTAACTTTCAAGGAGAAGGAAAAAAAGTTAAAGCAACAAGATTTTATTCTCAGTCATTGTTGACCCCTTCTATTGGTCCACTGCTCAGTCTTGACACAATAATGGCAGCTGGCACTTTAAAGGCACTTTAAAGTCTGTAAAAACTCAAAAAAAAAAAGGTGAGATAAAAGGTTTGGTTCCGACAGCACCGATATACACTCACCAAGCACTTTATTAGGAACACTACACTAATGCTGAGTAGGGCCTGTATTTGCTCCCAATTCTCAATTTTTTGTGCCATGGATTCCATGTTGGAAACATTCCACTCAGGTTCTGGTTTATGTTGACTGCATCATACAATTTCTGCAAATGTTTCAGGTGCACTTTCATGCTGCAAATCTCCGGTTCAACCATATCCCAGAGGGGTTCTACAGGATTCAGATCCAGTGACTGGGAAGGCCACGGAAGAACATTAAATTCATTGTCAAATCCACAAAATCAGTTTGAGCTGACTATAGCTTTGTGATGTGGTGCACTGTCATGCTGGAAGTAGCCATTAAAAGATGGTGAATTGTGGCCATGAAAAGATACACAAAGTGTACCAAGAAAACATTCCCCACACCATTACACTACCTCCCCCAGCCTGGACTGTTGACACAAGGCAGGTTGAGTGCTTCAGCAGAAATAGAGATTCAGATTTCCAGTCTTCAACTGTACAGTTCCTGTGAGTCTGTGCCCACTGCAGCCTCAGCTTTCTGTTCCTGGCCGACAGAAGTGGAACCCGACATGGTCTTCTGCTGTTGTAGCCCATCTGGTTCAATGTGTTGTGCATTTTGAGATGCATTTCTGCTCACCACAGTTGTACACAGTGCTTATCTGAGTTACTGTAGACTTTGTCAGCTTGAACCAGTCTGGCCATTCTTCGTTTACCTCTCTCATCAACAAGGCATTTCCATCTGCAGAACTGCCACTCACTGGATGTTTTTCCTTTATTGCACCACTCTAGGGACTGTTGTGCGTGAAAATCCCAGGAGATCAGCAGTTACAGAAAGACTCAAACCAGCCCGTCTGGCATCAACAATCATGCCACAGTCAAAATCACTGAGATCACATTTTCCCCCCATTCTGATGGTTGATGTGAACACTACCTGAAGCTGCTGGCCTGTCTCTGCATGGTTTTATGCACTGCTGCCATATGATTGGCTGAACAGGTAACCACATATATGAGTAAGTGTACAGATGCTCCTAATAAAGTGCTTGGTGATGGTATGTGTACCGCACAGAACCCACTACTACTCAGAACTAGCCTACAATTCTGTAAACACTTGAACTCTAAACTGCTAAACTTTATCAACATGTCCCTAAAGTGATCAGCAGTTGCCCAGGGAAACAAATTGCATCATGTACAACACAAAAAATAGCATCACTTGCATCACAATAAACATAGCACCAATTCTCATTCTACACAGCTGTGCACTCATGCAGTGCTGCTTTGAGTCTGAGAGGCTGGAGCTACTTCTGTATAATTATGCACATAGACAGCTTTTCTTTAGTTTAAAAGCCAAAGGCCTACATAATGCATCTTGATTGAGACATTCAAAAAGTAAAACAAACAAACAGAAAAACACAAAGCCTGCTTTCAGTTTGTACGTATCAAGCCCACATTAGCCCCCCCCCCAAAAAATGCAAAAAAAAATAAACATGCAGTGATCACAACGTCTAATGTTGCGATTAAATGTTACCGTTGCGATGTTCGTGGTGATCAGGTAACTGCATCCCTAGTGTAGTCTATGCAGTGAATAACGCTCATACAGTACAAAGTCTGAACTGTTGTCCTAGTGTGTGTGTCTAAATGATGCAGGAGCAACAGACCTGTGAACTCTTTTTTACAGCGGTCTCGTACACTCTCCTCCAGACTCTCCAGCTGCTGCTTCACTTTTTCATATTCTCTCTCTGCCTGCTGACTCTTCCTCCTGCAAACACACACACACACACACACACACACACACACACGCACGCACGCGCGCACACACACACAGTTTGTATACCATCAAATGTAAGTAGATCAGTGTTGTGGAGCAGCAGTGTGACGATGTCAGGGTCTGGAGTTGACTTCACAAACTGCTAAAGCAGGCAGGAATTAGTGATCTTATTTACCTGTAGCAGTAGACAGACACAGCGATGAAGAGCACCATGGGAAGGATGACAGCAGGAATGATCATGTAGAGAGGAACCTCATTCTTTTTCTCATAGTGAACAAAACCCACATGCCATTCTCCAAGACCAAACTTAATCTGAGAGGGAGAGAGACAGAGAGAGAGAGTGGGAGTCAGAAAGAGAGGGGAAGGAAATAAAAAGAGACAGGAAGAAAGAAAGAAAGAAAGAAAGAAGAGAAAAAGAGAAGGAGCAAGAGAAAGGGAGAGAGAAAGAGAGAGAGAAATATAGAGGAAGAAAGTAAGAAAACAGCAAAAGAGAAAAAGGAGAGAAAAACGGAGAGAGAAGGAGAGATCAGGAGAGGAAGTAAAAGATACAATCCAAGAGAAAGAACAAAGTAAAGAAAGAAAAATGAGGGGGAGAAATAAAAGGAGAGAGAGGTAGAGAGAAAGAAATTGAAACCAAGAAGAAGAGGGACAGGGAGAGAAAGACGGAGACAAAGTAAAAAGAAAGTGAGAGGAAGAAAGAAAGAAAAAGAGAAAGAAAGATCAGAGATGCTGTGTGAGCATGTTAGAACATCAGGAGGCAGGTCTGAAAAGCAGAGAACACATTCTCAAATATCAGAGGTTAAAGTGAGCGTTTGAGCTGTTTGCTCTTCCTCACCACCAGCTCCATGTCCTCTGAGCTGGTCTCTCTGCGCTGGCGTCTGGAGCGCGCTTTAGGGCGGTGAGACGGGGCCACCAGAATCAGCTTGTCAGCTTGCAGGATGGTCACATTACATGGCTCGTTTCCAACAAATGCCTGAGCCTCTGGAGCAGTCATGGCATTTGACAGACCCTTACCCTGCGGCACATAAAGGAGAACATCACTGATTAGCTCTCTGTGAAGTATTAAAGACAGAAATTATTATTTTTTTTAAACAATGCCTTAGAACGTTGCTCACCCAACAATGCCTTTGATTTTAGGCTTGTATGTGTAAATACATTTTGACAGCACAATCTGATTGGCTGAATGCATTTTAGCTGTGCTATTTGTGATAACAGCATATTTTTTTCCTACAAGAACTGCATCATTAGCTTGAGCACCTATTGCTAAATAGTGACAGCCTTGCAGCTAACTGTAGTACACTTCCACGTTACTTTTTCAGAAACAAAAAAGATCTTTGTTGGATATTTGCTCTTCTCGATTTCTCATGAAAAAACATGCAAAAGAGACCACATCTACATAATGTCACGTTTTGCTAAATATAATGGTACAGAAACACAGACCACTGTTGCTTTAGTCTTTGAAAACTGTCTAAAACATGCATTACGTGAACAACATTTTATTCCCATGTTTGTACTTAAAAGAAGGCAACATCACATCAAATCAGTTGTAGCAAGCAGAGTGGCTTTTTTTACACCCTTACTACACTCTTCTGTAATCTAAGAATAACTGGACCAGTTTACACTGTAGTCCATTTAGTTACTGAATAGTAAGCCTTAGAGTGTATTAAGCCTGTAATTTTAAGAGACTTGTAGTAGACTTATGGGATGCCACTTTCTGTTTTACAAGTGATTTGATATGATTTTGCCCTTTTGAGTTAAATACATGTGCAATGTTACACACTTTTTTTTAGACGGTTTCTAAATCACTACAGCATTGCCAAAACATTATGTTTAGTGAAATTTAACAATGAGCATTTTTGAAATACACATGATTGTAGTTTGTCCTTTAGGAGAGACAAAATGTAGATTTGATCATTTTTGGATGTGAATTTAATGAGAAATCAAGGAGAGAAAGTCAAATATTCAGAACAGTCTAATATCCAGAACAGTCAAATATACAACAAACTTTGTCACACTATCGAACTCAATAGGATGCTAGTTTTTGGTGGAAGGGATTGTCAATATTAAAGCATGTTTGATATAATATTTCAGACCTACTTGTTTTACCTTTGTTTAGTTTACAGAATTGTTGTATAAAAATGAAAGAAAATTTAGATTTTGTTATTCTTTTCATCTGGTCTTTGATAAAGTAAAAGGAACCAGTCCTGTGTTTTAAACTCCACAGAACAGACGTTTTCCCGATATTTAATTACTCTGGGAAATTGTCCTTTGGCATGGAACGCCACAATGTAACTATGGGCTGAGTGGACTGATGTATCTAGAGGATAACAATAGGCATTAACAATCATCACAAGTATAATGGTCTTCTAAAAAAACTTTCAGTGATTACATTGACAATGATGATGCCGTCTGGGTTGATGGCCTTGTTGGTAACATTGAAGAATTCGGGGTCCGAGTGGTACGTGAAATCAGTGAGGTTGGAGATGGTGTTGTCCAGGTGCAGGACGGTCTTAAAGGAATGATTCTCATTGATCTTTTTCACCGCAGGAGAGTAGAACCTTAGCATTGTTTTGTTCTTAAAGAAAGCCTCCTGCACAAACTGAAGCAGAGAGATTCATCAGGTTCTGCTTAGATTTCAGAAAGTCAGTAGGAAAAAAAAAAAACAGCTGATAAGAAAAACAATGTCAGTCTTAATCTGTAAATACTCAGTAATGAAATCTATTATATGAATCTGTAACCTACAACACAGTAAAGAAAGCAGTACATAAATCTTTCTGTATAATTCCCATATTTAATGCTCTGTAAAGACTATATTACTCTATAAAGATTACATTTCAGTGATGCTCTATTTAAATGTTTGTGTCATTAACAAAATAACCATTTTTCAGCAGAAAGAGAGACACTGGTTGGGAAAGATTGTTAATTGTTAATTCTATATTTCAACATTCATGGGAGGTCTGAAATAAAGTAGGGATCCACCTAAAATGGGGACCGATGCTGTTATACAATATTTTTCATAGTCATATCTGCCATTCAAAAAAAGATACATGAACATTTAAAAAAAACATATAGAAATCCAGTCTAGATCCAGCTGGATTGGCATTACAGAGGAATTAAGAAGCTACCAAAGCAGTAAAATGAATAATTTTAGTGCATATATATTTCAGTGCCTCATCAAATACTAGTTTTAAATCTCAATCACATCAAACATCTGACGCTAATCATTTTTAGTAATGAGCTGCTGATATAGGTATGACTCTGATATCTTGGTGCATCCTCAGTATAAAGTGTGTAAGAGGGTACACTCTTAAAAAGGATGGTTCTTCAAGGGTTTCTGAGTAAAGAAAATGGTTCTATATAGAACCATGAACACTCCAAGAACCCTCTGCATGATTAAAGAGTTATCTGCATCATGATAGGGTTCTTCAGATTGATGGAGAATGTGCTCTTTAAAGAACCTTTTTGAAAAGAGTTTGTAACAAGCCTGACATCGTAACAATAGAAGAACCATTTTTGGCACAATATAGAACCCTTCTCAAAGTGGTTCTATATAGAACCATCCACAGCACACTCTCCATCCCTACCACCACCACTTCTACTCCTGTCATCCACCTAAAATACATGAGCAAGTCACCCGTATCAATTTAATTTCACAGATCACCTGGTGATTTTATGTAGCACATTTCATCATCACCCCTGAAATTAATTCCTGGCTACGCCAATGTCTAAAACCATGTCACGCTATTAGGTTACCTCAATTACATTTGCTTAGGTGTTTTCAGTCACATGTGAGCTGTTATGCCAAAATCCAGGCTTCAGTATGGCTGCTACTACTACATTCATTTCAGTTTTTACTCAACTATTTACTGAAAGAGAGGATGGCACTCACCTCAACATTGCTGGGCCTGCAGTCATCAGTAGAGGGAATGCAATCGTCAGTAGAGGGCAGCACTCGCATGACGGCTTTCTGAACCAGGTCAAATCCTGCACCTTCAACTGTGATAATCCGGCCTCCGCTGCAAATGACACACGCACAATAATGCAGTCAGACCTGCTTCCACACATGGGTGTGTGCTCAAGCACACATGCTTCTAGCAGCAGAATGCATATACAGCAAGTCAGACCAATTACAAATGTCTTTTTGCTTGTTTTAACACTATTAGAACATTTCTCTTAATGCACTACAGGCTCAAAAGTATTCAGATACCGCTTTTTCTACTTTAAGGTTCACCCATAGAGGAGTTCAATTCTGCCAAATTCACTGGCAACAGAAAAAGACACTCTGGAGCAGCCGTACATGAGTCTAAGGTCACCATTCCCAGGGGCAAATGTCAGCTAGAGGGGTATAAAGCCCCCAAGCATTGGGCTGTGGAGCAGTGGAGCCGTGTTCTCTGGAGTGATGGATCTGTATCTAACATTTTTGGGATAAGTTTCAGTGCAGTTTGTGATCCAGAACTAATCAGCAAAAGGGAGACCAATTCCCTACCGTCTAATACCACTGGAAAGAAGAAATGTTGGATGAGTGGGTGTCTACAAACTTTTGTGGTCAGTTTTCTGGACAAGGATTAAGCCTGGACTACACAGCATTCTAAAAGGATTTTTTCTAATGAAAGGAACATGTTCTAAGGATCATATAACAGAAACACCCTAACTCTAAAATTATATTTGACTAGTCACAATGACAACTTCAGTTAAGTCTGAATTTAGGACAGGAGCTGTTACAGAATAACAGTTCCAAACTTCATAATCATGTCCTAACTTCAGAAAATTAAATAGTATTACAGAACCATCATAACTAGAGTAAATTTCCTAAATACTGTCCTAACATTGAGACTACCCCAACAGTGTCCTAACTTCTGTTTTAACTGTCCACTTCTATCGTTTTCAGTCAACTGTGACAGGCAGCACAGTTTACTGTAACTAGCATAACAACATTACCTTTATTTGTATTACAAAATGGTAGATTCAATTGTGAATTCCCGCCCCCTAAATCTGCTTAATTAATGAGGAGACTGAATTGACCAAGTGCCTCTTTACTAGGTGAAATAATGTTAGCGGCTTGCAGGCCAGCTAAAGCTTATGGAATAGAAACCGAAAAAGATAAACAGCAAAGGGGAATATATGCGTAACTTCCAGTTTATCTCACTTTAGTGTTCTTTTGACAGTAACAGTAGATGTCTACCTAACCAACTAACTTTAACATTGTTTTGATTACATGTTTACGCTTTACATGTTTAAAATATAATTTCTAAACTGAGATAAGATTTGCTTCTGTAATACAAATTTGTGAAAATCCTATCTTAAACTTTGCAGATCTTAACTAAAGACTAAAGATGGACAGCTGTAACGCAGTCCCAGGACCAAGATTACTACCAGTCCAGAAAACTGACCCAAAGTGCATCTTTTATTGGTCACACTGTATACATCTACTGTATACAGTAGATGTTCATCTTGTCTTTACATTCAACTAAATATTTATTACATTCACTTGCACTTTTAACTAAGCCTAAACCTAACACTCACCCTAACCTTATACTCAACCCTTAAATCTGATCTTAATTCTAATCTTAAACCTGATTCTAATGCTAACCCTAAGGCTACTGATAATTAACAGAATATTTATTATTTCTTCAAAAAGAAAAGAAATAATGGCAGAAACGCTCCTAGCATGGGCGAGGCTAAACCACTGTACGCTGAACGGGAAGATGTATGTAAATACACTATATTGCCAAAAGTATTCGCTTGTCTGCCCTCATACGCATATGAACTTCAGTGACATCCCATTCTTAATCCATAGGGTTTAATATGATGTCGGCCCACCCTTGGCAGCTATAACAGCTTCAACTCTCTTGGGAAGGCTTTCCACAAGGTTTAGGAGTGTGTTTATGGGAATTTTTGACCATTCTTCCAGAAGCGCATTTGTGAGGTCAGACACTGATGTTGGACGAGAAGGCCTGGCTCGCAGTCTCCGCTCTAATTCACCCCAAAGGTGTTCTATTGGGTTGAGGTCAGGACTCTGTGCAGGCCAGTCAAGTTCTTCCACACCACACTCGCTTATCCATGTCTTTATGGACCTTGCTTTGTGCACTGGTGCGCAGTCATGTTGGAACAGGAAGGGGCCATCCACAAACTGTTCCCACAAAATTGGGAGAATGAAATTGTCCAAAATCTCTTGGTCTGCTGAAGCATTAAGAGTTCCTTTCACTGGAACTAAGGGGCCGAGCCCAACTCCTGAAAAACAACCCCACACCATAATCCCCCCTCCACCAAACTTTACACTTGGCACAATGCAGTCAGACAAGTACCGTTCTCCTGGCAACCGCCAAACCCAGACTCGTCCATCGGATTGCCAGATGGAGAAGCGTGATTCGTCACTCCAGAGAACACGTCTCCACTGCTCTAGAGTCCAGTGGTGCCGCTTTATACCACTGCATTCGACGCTTTGCATTGCGCTTGGTGATGTAAGGCTTGGATGCAGCTGCTCGGCCATGGAAACCCATTCCATGAAGCTCTCTACGCTGTTCCTGAGCTAATCTGAAGGCCACTTGAAGTTTGGAGGTCTGTAGTGATTGACTCTGCAGAAAGTTGGCGACCTCTGCGCACTATGCGCCTCAGCATCCGCTGACCCCGCTCTGTCATTTTACGTGGCCGACCACTTTGTGGCTGAGTTGCTGTCGTTCCCAATCGCTTCCACTTTGTTATAATACCACTGACAGTTGACTGTGGAATATTTAGTAGCGAGTAAACTTCACTACTGGACTTGTCGCACAGGTGGCATCCTATCACGGTACCATGCTGGAATTCACCGAGCCCATTCTTTCACAAATGTTTGTAGAAGCAGTCTGCATGCCTAGGTGCTTGGTTTTATACACCTGTGGCCATGGAAGTGATTGGAACACCTGAATTCAATGATTTGGATGGGTGAGTGAATACTTTTGGCAATATAGTGTATGTTGATTTTTGTGACATCACAAAACTACTTCAAAACAGGCTGTTTTCGCAGCTTAGTTTCCATATGTGGGCTGTATGGACTGGGAGGTGAAACTTCAACATTGTTAACATACTATGTCAAACTGTTTCTTTTAAAAGTTTCCCATGAAATGGCACCTATAAGATAAGATAATCCTTTATTAGTCCCACAACGGGGAAATTCTCAACAATGTGGGGATGTGTAGATAAGCTAAAAAGGGACCAATAGCTGTTATTAACGTAACATGAACTTGATTTGAATGGAGTCTGTGTCGCTCAAGAATATTCAGCTGTACCGCAGTGTTGAGGAAGAAGCTGCAGTTCTCTGCATGCCCTCCAGTTTTGAGTAGCAACACCTCCCTGCCCTTTAGAGACATACTCTCTTCAACCTTCCTCTAAGATCTCATACAACTTTCCATTTTTATACCAGGCTATCTAACGCCAGTGATCAAGATATCAGTCAGGTGCGCTCATCTCACAGTTTCCCCCAGACTCCTCTTCTCCTCAACGGTCGACCTCTCCTGCAGATCTCTAACACACTGTGTACCAGTCTCTTCTCTTCAGGGAAGACTTTATTTTAGATGTTGGAACACTGCACTGAGGATGTGATTAGTGAGGTCAGGTTGTGATGTTGGATGATTAGTTCTGGATCAGATCTGGATGGATTTCCATCACTCCGGTTCCACATTTAAACCAGGCTTTGTTACATAAACCAACTCTTTGCTAACACTTTGGGTACAACCTGCAACATTTTTTGTCTTCCTTAGTATGAAGAGCAGGTTTTTCTAAATTTTTCTTTTCAAAAATACAGTTAAAAGCGCAAGATTGAAATATTTTGCTGCAAAGGTGATTTGCAGTCAATGTGAATTGGAAATCATAACACATTTTCCTTCCGTATCATGATGTATCCCTGAATAAATCACCCTATCAGTGAAAGTTTCTGAGCTATTTGAGTGTCTTCCATGATAAGTGGGGGTGGTGGGAGGGTGATGTGAAGCATGTACTTCATATCCAGATACTTCCTCTAACTGGTGAATTCAGCTAATTTGAGATGTACTCATTACTAACGCAGGTGTTCAGTTGTGCAGCCACAGCTTGTATAATCTCCACAGAAAAGAATAGAATGGGATGCTTTGGAGCAGCTGTACGTGAGTCTAAGGTCATCATGTCCTGTGCCAAGCGTCAGCTAGAGGGGTATAAAGCCCCCGAGCATTGGGCTGTGGAGCAGTGGAACTGTGTTCTCTGGAGTGATAGAGCTCCATTCAATACAGCTGGAGTGAGCTGAAGTGGAGTTTCTGATCCAGAACTAATCATCCAACATCAGTAGCTGACCTCAACAATGCTCTTGCGGCTGGATGCAATCAAATCCTCACAGCAATGTTCCAACATCTAGTGTGAAGCCTTCTATGAAGAGTAGTGGCTGTTAGTGCAGCAAAGAGGAGGCAAACTCCATATTATCATCCTTTATTTAAGAAGAAATGCTGGATGAGCAGGTGTCTACAAACCTTCTAAACATAAAGTGCCTTATTAGTTCATATAATACTTTCCCCGCCCACTGGTACACGGTGATGTAATCACCAATCAGAAGACATTTCAGAGTTGGGCAAAAATCAAGTATTTTGTCTTTTAAAAGCTGTTATGATAAATGCTTAACTTAACCAGAGACAAGGTAAAAAAAGATCAGCTTTGATTTCAGGTGGATTTTTACCTCTGATAAATGCTGATATATGCTCATATAAAATGAGTGGGGTTTGGTATTGTTCCCAAGATAGCACTTTCACAAATATTAGTGATATTTTTGTCCTCAAAAACATGGTTAGGCTTCATTATGGGTACTGCAAACTGACAAGCACGTTCACTGGTTTTAAAAACATTTTACAAGTCTGGGTGTCCCCTGACTTAAACGGAAGTGTACATGCTATACAGTATAAACCACTTACAGACCAATGGATTAAAACAATACATACAGAATAATAGGTATTTAAAAAAAATGTATTCATATCATTTATGAAAGTGAACTGACCACATAAAGCTTTCTTTAGGGTAGTGCTTAATGACCGTCGGGTTGGACTCGTAGGTGAAAGTGCTGTTTGTCATGTCTTTAGTGGTGCTCCTGCCGTACTTCACTGTGACCTTCAGCGGCCCAGACGGATTCTTACTTGAACCTGTTTTACATGTGATCCTGGGACCAAATTCAAGCCTGAAGTGAAGAAAGAGAGAGAGAGAGGGAGAGAGAGAGAGAGAGAGAGAGAGAGAGAGAGACAGAGAAAGGAAGAAGAAAAGTGAAAGGCAGACAAAACAAATGCATGAACACAGACATGTTACACACATAAATACAATGACACAGAAACCATTGCTAAAATAAAAAAAAAAATGAAAGAAAACGTTCATGTATTTTTGAAAAATTAACTCAGTCTTTCACAGTCTTTGCCTCTACCTCATAGTATTTGAGGTTTTGTTTTGCTTCATTTTATTTCTTTTGCTTTGTAAGGTGATTGCCTCTTTGATTTGATTTGTTTTTTCATTGTTGTTAATATTGTGCTTCATGTTTGTGCTCTGTTCTCTCGTGTTTAGTTGTTTTTTTTTTTGCTTTTTTTTTTTTAAATATCCTTGGATTAGAACCCATTTTGTGTTGTCAACTGTAGCCCACTGTAACAATAAACAGCCTATGAAAGTCCTACATTGACTATATTTTGTTTTTTCCAACTTGGTGATCTCTCAGAGTGACATGACATTAAATCTAAGGTGATGGAAAATAGGGATGACAGTTGTATAAGTGGGTCTTATTTCTTAGCAGGGGTGTAGCATCCTGAGGCACTTTGCTCAGATCAAGTCCTGGGTGTTTTTATTCTTCTGCATCTTCTTATTTTATTTTTTCTTGTTGATATACATAATAATAGCATATAAAGGGGACACACAGTTTCTTTACCCAAAACACTTAGAGCCTTAGAGATGTCTGTCACTCACACTTCACAGGGCACTGTTCCCACAGTGATGCTGACGTCATCTTTAGTAGCTGTGTCCAGGTCACGTCCTGAGATGGTGATGACTGTGCCCCCGTCGGCGGGCCCTCTGGTGGGTTCGACACTCTCAGGAACTGGGTCCTGCAGTAAACATCAGAACAAGTTTGACTTCTCTCTCTTCTACACATGAAACATCACAAGTCTTCCTTATTAAAAGCATTATTATATGACTATATATTAAAACAACAAGGGGAGAAGATTTGAGATTTATTATTCATCAGTTATTGTAACTATTAAGTTACTATAATGAAACTAGTATGTGATGTATTTAGTTTTGAGAGTGACGAAGTGAAGTGTGGACCCAGCCTGAGAGAGAATGAGGATGGAGGAGAAGGTTACCCTGTACTCGAAGACAACATCTGATTTTCTGTTCTTGAGCCCCTCTACCTCCACTTCCACACAGCCCTTAGTGTCTACGAGCGCCACATCTCCAGGAGGACTACGCCATGGCCCGATCTCACACACAACACTGACATATACACACAGAGACACACGTTATAATACACACAAACACAAAGTCTCCAGGCAACATTTTTAGCTGTCTTGCTGGAGATGAGTTATATGCAAGTTCCATCCACATCTAAACGGTTGTCATGCGCAATAATCATTTCCACTTAGCTATTAAATATTGGGTGCTATTACTTTGTTTAAATTGTTAGTGTAATTATAGTTGGAATACAACTACTAGTATTATGAAATAAAATATTAAAAAGGCATATTTATTATATAATCTAATCTATAATAATAACTAATTAATAACAAAACTGACACTTCAAATATTCTGTTTCACTCTTATTTGTCTTTCGTCACAGCTTTAAAATGGAATGGAAAATGAAAGTGTTTGTGAATGTAGTACCTGGTAGAGACAGAGTATTGGTCTGGCTTGTGTGCACACAGCACTCCAGCCACAGTGATTCTTGTGATGTCCTCCTTCTTAATGCCCAGGTTGGAGCCCTTTATAGTGACCGTGATATGGCCGTTCATTGGCCCGTACCGCGGCACAATCTGGAGGGAAAGTGGAACAAGCTGAATTAAGAATGAGTTTAGTTCATGGAGTTCTTGAACTTTTCTTGTTTGAAAGAGCCTTCAGCTGACTTCAGAAGAAAAAAGGCAAATCTCATCCATCTTATCTCCAAGCTGAGAAAGATGAACATGAACTTCTTGAGAAAATTGAGATATCCTAAGGATGTATTGGAAAACATATGGAGTGTAGAACAGTATGTGCAGACAAAGAGAATTAACTCTGTATGTGTATATGTGAATGTGCAGGATGGTACAAAAGTCCTAAGCAAATTGTTTAAAACCATTTATCTGGGCAATAAATGTGTTTTTGCCTGTGAACACTACAATACATGAAAATCAATGGAAACAAAACATGCAGTAAAAAGTAAGAAGAATTCCTTGTTTTCTAAAAAAAAAGCAGTTGAGCTAGTCAGAAGAACATAGCTTTGGATTTCTCCTCAATTCCCCTGGTCATGGCATGAATGTACTAAATTCCACCACCTTCATTTCACCAGCACACCTGATTTATAATTTAGTGAAGCATTACTTCGCCAAACCAGGTATGATCACTACAAACAAAACTAGAATGCACCAAGGTCAAAGTTGAAAACGGTTAAGAGAGCACATGAACATACATAAAACTACAACTATCATTTGTATTTATGCTTATGTTAGTGCTCTGAGCAAAGAAGTGCTTACTGGCCAATTAACTAGCTTTTTAAATATAATTTTCTTAGGTGTCTAAACCTTATTTACAGCTATATAGATATACCAGCATATATACACATTACTTTTCCAGATGCAACTTGCAATGTTGCAGTTTAGCAGTGTTTAAAGTTCAGTGGTTAATCTAAACAGTTCTTAATTTTACATGTTCCTATAGATTCTGAAATGTAAACTTTTCAGTGTTATTTAGTATTTCTAAACATTGTAAACCAAGTTTTAACAACATTAATGTACCTTTGTTATTCCAACATTCGTTCTGAATTGAACTGAATTAAACTGATTTGCAAGTTTCTTTTACTCTCTTTATGGAGGACTGAATGTCTCTATGATGATAGGAGAACAATATAATTCTGAAGCTGTGGAATATTTGGTGATCCGCATAAGGCAAACCGTGTGTGTGTGTGTGTGTGTGTGTGTGTGTGTGTGTGTGTGTGTGTGTGTGTGTGTGTGTGTGTCTCACGTCTGTGATGCTGGGTGCAGGGCACTGCGTAGCTTCGCTGGGACAAAGCTGGTTGTAGATGCAGGAGCTAGTGGTCTGACACCACACACAGTTATACTTCCTATCTGCATTCTTACACAGACTGCAGTCCGCACGACCCACTGAACAATTATACAGCGCCACTGAGAGAGACACACAGAGACACAAAGAAAGACAGATTAGTGAACGGTTGAACATTTCAACAGCGTTTGATTGTATATGGACCATTCTATCAAAATAGTTCAAAATGCAGTCTTACAGTAAAAAAAAAAAAAAGACTATTTGCAAAACAATGAAGTATGTAGAGCTTAGATATTTACAAAGGTTATGTTATGATCAATTTAAACCCCATGTGTCAAACACAAGGCCTGTGGGACAGATTAGTTCCATGACACAATCCTATTCGGCCCGCAAACGTATTTTATTTTTCTATTAATATTAGCTTGTTTCGGCGGCGCGGTGGCGCAGTGGGTAGCGCTGTCGCATCACAGCAAGAAGGGCCTGGGTTCGATTCCCGGCCGGGCGACCAGGGTCATTTCTGTGTGGAGTTTGCCTATTCTCCCCGTGTCTGCGTGGGTTTCCTCCCACAGTCCAAAGACATGCAGTCAGGCCAATTGGAAATGCTGAATTGCCCCTAGGTGTGAATGTGTGTGTGATTGTATATGTAGGTCTGTCTGTCTGCCCTGCGATGGACTGGCGACCTGTCCAGGGTGTATCCTGCCTTCCGCCCAATGACAGCTGGGATAGGCTCCAGCACCCCACCGCGACCCAGAAGGATAAGCGGTTTAGATGATGGATGTATGTATGTATGTATTAGCTTGTTTCACAATGCACTACACTACAGTTCCCAGCATGCACTGCAACATACTGTACTCTCCTACCCCAACAACAATCTATGGGACGGTGGTTACACCTCAATTCTAACTCCACAGAATTCCACACCAGTCACATCACCAAACAACTAACTACAGTTCGGCCAATATAAACACTTCACGTTAACTCAGCAGCTCAAAAATTGAGCCCAAGTATTAATGAACTTGCAGGAAAGAAAAGAGGCCAGGTGTCTAATTCAAGCAAATAGGCAGGCTTAAAAGACTGAGCACCTGAGGACATTTCAATTTTCAATATTTCAAGTATTTATTTAATATTTCAAGGTGCATTACAAGTGCCTATATTTTACTGTTTTTTCATGTATTTCATGTGTTTTTATTAAACATTGGTTAGTTTTATTTATAGTAAAATGTTAATTAAAACTTAAATAAAACAGGTGTTCTCTAGGCCACGGATTTGTTGAGATTTTTTAATATGGCCCTTTTAGTGGTTGAGTTTGACACCTCTGATTTAAACCCAAGGCATTAATTGAGATAGTGATAAGCTAAATATATATAAAATCATCATTTATGGGGTATTTTATTTTGGCAGGTGTCCGTCCTAAACCCTAAACCCTAAATTTCAACTTGTTTAAAATAACACTAGCAGTTTTTTGGGTTATTTAAGTTTTTTTTTAAAAGATCTTTTTGATTTTTTTTAAAGTGAAGTTGAATGATTAACATTCATCAGTGTAATAATAAAATGCTGTCCCACATTTTCATGTCACTACCAAAACACCTACAGTTTTAGTCCACAGGTGGAGGTTTATTTTAGCCACACCTGGTGAGCAGTTAGATCTCACCGTTTTGATGTCTGAAAATCATTGTGTAACATTAAGAATTGTCACTACTGATACACATTTTCTGTGATTCAATAAACTTTTTTGTGTTTTCATGAAAAAAACATGATTTTATGTGTGCACAACTGTGTGTTTGAGCCCTGCTCTAAATTAGCTACAATCATTATCGAAACAGTAAAATTGTCACTGTGAAGACATTAGGTAAAATTTCAGTATGATTTCAGTTATGATTATTTTGCTAGTGACAAAATGGAATATAATAATATAATATAATTAAGGTGCTTGTTTAGAAAGAGTCATATTTGATTGTGATGCAAACCTCTGGAATTCTGCTTAAAAAACAGCATGATTTCATTATAATTCTTCAGAAAGTGATTGAATGCTTCATGAAATCCCAAATTTAATTTGTTTATTTTGGTAGTTATTATCCATAAATGTTACTAGAGAAAATATTCATACAGTACTGAAGCACACCATAAAGTTTTTTCCTTTTTTGTGGTGGAGGGTGGACATTTTTACATTTGAAAATAGTTCAGGAATTTTATTTTGGTGGGAATCGGCACATACTTTTGTATTACTATAATAATTTGTATTATAATTATCATAACAGATTATAATCAATTTTCCTAATTCTAAAATTCCTCAAATTTTGTGTCAATACTAAGGTTAAACTGCATAGTCTGCTTTCACGACTCAGATTAAGACTTATTCTAAAGATGAATGCTAGTTTCCTCCGAGTATTTCTATTTACAATGAATTTTAATCCAAGATTTGTCTGAATTTGTCTGGAGTTCCATGCCCTAAGATTTTCCTAATGCAGTGGTGGTTAAGGGCGTTTTTCAGCAGCTGGCTATGTGTTTACTGTTCTTTTGGCTTGTGTGTACTCAGACTCTACTTACCCTGCAGCGTGCTGTCAATCTTCTTCTCCGTCTCCTTATCCTTCACATAGAACGACACGTTCACCTCTGGCTTTTTGTCGTATGCAAACTAGGCAGAGAGAAACGAAGAAAAGGAACAACCTTTATTTCTCATACACACATGCATGAGTGAGCTTCACAAAACGGTGTGTGTGACAGACGACTTGCCTCACAGCAGAAAATCCTACCTAACCTGGTTATTTTGCAGTTATTCACTTCACTAGACTTCTATTTAAAATGTCTGCCTTTCCACCACAGGAGGGTGGATTCCATTTCACTGATGTGAGTCCAGGTGACAAAGTTACCTTTAAATTGAGGCTATGAGTTGCACTCAATTAAATAAATTCAGCCTGTTCACATTCTTTATTACTCTTTCTTGGCCTCGATCGTCATATTTATAAACATGGAAAGGGGCAATGAATTATGGGCAGTAAATCTGACCTTCCCTTTCACAGGTGAGAGGACAAGTAACATTTCTCTCCTTTATTAAACTAAAGAAAATGAACAGCATGCAGTACGGCTGCCTCACCAACAGCTCCAGGTCACTTTATTTTATTATTCAAACTCAGGCTAGTATTTACTCAGAACAATCTCCATGGTAATAACGGCAGTCAAACTCGGTATGAAAATAGATTAATGAGGATGAGCAGGGGAGGATGAGAGAGAGAGAGAGAGAGAGAGAGAGAGAGAGAGAGAGAGAGAGAGAGAGAGAGAGAGAGAGACACATGAGAAAAAGATCAAAGAACACAAAGACAAGGAAAAGAAAGGGTAAAGAAAAACGAAAAAAGAGAAGAGAAAGAAACAAAAGAAAAGAGACAGAAACAAAGACAAAGAAAGAAAGAAAGAAAGAAAGAAAGAAAAGTATGACCATGGAGATGGAGTACAAATGAAGGTGTATAAAAGAAAAGAAAGAGAAAAGAAATGAAAGAGAAAAGTGAAAAGAAAAAAGAGAAAAAAAAGAAAAAAGAAAAAAGAAAAGAAAAGAAAAGAACAGAACAGCACATTGATGGACACCCACAGCCTTCTGGTGAGGAGCAGAAATGAGGATAAATGAAAATCTGGGACACTGACCTCATAGCCCTCAAAACCGAACTTTTCTTCGTCCTTGGTCACTTCGCTGACCTGCTTCATGAGCTCTGTGCCAATCTGGAAGGTTTTTCCCTGAGAGAGGCAGAAAATGAGAAGTGTTTACAGGATTTCACTGAAAGAAAAACAAATCTGCTGAGAAGGCTTCTCAGGGATTAGGCTATTAAAAATGTAATTAATTAAAAAACAAAACACTCCTAAAAGCCCATTAGCCTCACCGTTTCTACTGCATATTGAGCACCTGTACATTAATCATGTACTCACATTCACAATATGACAAATTAGCAATTATACCACAGTGAGGACACGGCAGAGTGTGAAGTGAACAAGCTTCATTACCATGTTCTCCAGATTTTTGCCTTCAAAGCTGATGGGGATTTTGAAGCCCACAGGAATGAGCCCTGGCTCTAGATTCCCAAACTGAGGACACTTCTCATGCTGCAAGAACCAGAGAACCAAAAACTCAATGCCATTACAGTGTTGAAGCTTCAAACATACAGGGCTTTTCACACGGCACAAATGACATGTCAGCAATTCATTACTAATGAAAACAGGAGGACGGGTAAAGTAACGAAGCAAGCTCAAACCCGAGTAGTCGCTGCGCTCATCCCAGGGACGAGCGCACGCACGCCTGTCTCGAGTCAAAAAGTTTTCAACTTCTGTCAGTGAAACAAGAGGATCGCATGCCATCAAACAACGAGACTACAGTTTTTACAGAGTGAAAAACGCACTGCAAAAAAAAAAATGTAGTCTAAACAAGCCAGAAAATTCTGAAAATTAACAGATCTTATTTAACATTGTTGATTAACAGAGCAAACTTGATATGTATGTAAAAGATTAATCAGCTAGCTTTTGTCTATAATTCTCTTATTAAGACAAAATTAAGCTTTATAGTCTTACAAAACACTGCAAAATACTGCATTCTTAAATTAAGCGAAGTTGATTTAAAATTTCTTTTTCCATCACAGAAAGGTTCAAATCTTTTCGAGCTAGCTGATCAATTTTCAAAATTTCCTGGCTTTCTGTTAAGATTTCTTTATATTCAGCGTCCCTTTTTAAGCAAGTGTGTTCCACCTCTTAGGAGCTAATAAAACAGTTTATCATCATGTGTGGTTTGTTTTTTTAACATTTTATGCCTATTTCATTCCTATGCTATTTTAAGCACCACACTATTGATATAAGACCATTCTGAAGACATCTGTATTCATTTAAAAGTAAAGCTCTAAGCTTGAAGCTTGTTCAAATGTTCTTAGACTAATATACTAGTTTTTGTTAATTTTAGACTATTATTCTGACATCAGACCAAATAAATGTTAGATCTAGCCACAATGCCTAAGAACAAATATAATATTTACTGATTTTAAAATCCTTTACAGCACAATTTCTTATTTTAAGAAATCGTAAGTCAATTTTTACTATACTGGTAGATCATTTTCCTTGATTTGGTTTTATTTTTCTTCTTTTATGATACTGATTTTTTGCTGTGTGGAGGCACGCCTCATCCTTAAGTTAGTGGTTATCAGCTTTTGATATTAATTTCTATTCCTATTTTCAGTGTTTTTTTTTTTTAGTGATTCCTATTTTCATGTTTTAAATAGCAGCACAATCTATACTGACCAAGTGCTAGCGTTGCAGTCACCACACGACAGACGTGAGTGATTTTCCACCTGCTGTATGGAAAACTATGCAGAGTTCTGACCTTCCATATGTGAAGTTAAGAGAGCCAGGCAGAGCGAGGAGCCATTAGCTGCTTGCTGTGTGAAATGTGCTTTAGATTGAGTGACTGGAGAATAACAAATGCCTTCTGTGTAAAGGAACATCAGCAGATCTAATATTCTAGAGGTGGAATTATAGGATTTGATCAATACTACTACTCTAATCAATACTTCTTATGGATTTGATACTTCCACACTCTTATCGGCTCTTTTTTGTTTTTGAATTATTTTGCCCTCCCAATTAATTATTTAATCAACATTTCTGTAATAATATTCTCTCACAACCTCACCTCCATGTTCTTGATGATGTTAGGGCTGTCCACAGGGTCGTCCTTATCACTGCAGGAGTGCTCCTGCGTGTTCCACTGGCAGCCCCACTGGCTGGTCACACAGTCTATGCACCTACACAAAAACACATTAAAGGTGGAGGAGAGTGGGGGGCGGCGAAGATGCGCAGTGTGGAAGCAGAGCTTTTCTAACTCCTAGCACTCATCATTTACTCACTGCTTCCACTGTTTACATCAGTTAGCCTGTTTTCATGTACACTGGAGTCAGTGGACCTGGGTTTACTAGCCTGTAGATGGGCGGTTAGCACTCACGGTGTGTTTGTTGTTTTCTTCACAACTGCAGCACAGTTGTAGAACTTGTACTCATTGGCTGCCACCTCAATGACATTATTCACCATGATCTTCACAGGGACTGCTACGTAATCTGCACAGAAAAAGAGTCCACATTATAAGTGTTAGGCTGCCAAAAACTACTATGAATTATTGATAGCAAACTGTGACTAGTAAACTATGTTATAGGTTTCAATAAAAGTTCTATAGTGCAGACAATACACATACATTACAACTACACAACAGAAGGCATTTCTAAGAATCTATTAAATGATGAATAATATAATGTAATCATCTGGTCACACTTTATTTTGATGGTGTACTTTAGATAATCAACAGATTTATCAAATTCAATTTCAAGTTTAGCTGCACTGAATAGATAGACTAAGCATCTACAAAGCGTCTACAGTGGACCATCAAAATTAAAATGTTACCAGTATTCTAGATTTTAATTTTATTATAACGTCAATCTTGATGCTACACGGCTGTCTCAGTTATTATGGATCCATCTTCAGCTCTGTTCATCAGCCTGGAGACATCTAACATTTAACTGTAGGTTGTAGAGTCCTGTCATCATGTTAGAATCATTTTATACATTTTTCCACAGCAAAATTAACTTATGTGGAAGACCACCCTCACATGCCAATGTCAAAACAGCTCTGAGGTAAGCTAAACTTTACTTCGGTTCCAGTATGTTATACTCATTTTAATACAATGTCCAAATAATGACACAGAACAAATGTTAAGATCAGTTAGCCTTTTTTTTAACAGTGCTGTTGACAGTTTGATGAATCATATTAAATAGGAATGTGTAACAATCACAACTTACCTGTCTGAGTATAATTATTCTGTGTGAAGTATTATTTTACTCATAGGTCACTGTTTGTATTATTATTATTATTAATTTGCTTAAAGACCGTGTGTAAAACCCGACGAGTCCTCCCCAACATAAAGTTGCTCTAAACTGCTCCAGTGTTAGCTTTCATGTTAGCTCGCCTGAAGGAGTAGCTTTCGTTGCTCAAACTTCCTCCTTATTAGACACGATAATCTGCCATTTCAACTAGCAATGTGCATTCAGACTAATTTTGATATTCCAGTATTTATCAAAGTTAATGAATGAATATCTGGTTCACTGCAGGAAAGGACAATCAACAACAAAGAGGAAAAAAAGGACTTTGGCCTCAATTAGTTTAGAGCTGCAAACTTATTTTATAATGACAGTAAAAAAAAAAGTTTCATTATTCAAAAAAAAAGAGATGAGAGAAACTGGTGGATTTTCATCTTGGACGAGTAACAGAAGCTGCCATCAGAGCTACTGTGCTAACACTAACCAGTACAGTGTTAGATGCTCATGAGGACCTGGTGGACAATCCTGTATGAGCATGACAGTGTGCAAGAGAACTTTGTTTTTATTGTTTCTGGACTTAGCTAACATTTTACCGCTACCTTTAAAGGAAGCTTGACAACATGTCTCTGGCAACACGCCCATGTTCAGGCACCCGTGTTTCGTAGAAGCAACGTATACTTACTTGCTGGCCTGTATATTTTCTGTCTCCCAAGATGAATATCTAGACAGTGATTTCAGTTTAAGAATACTGGTACCTCAAATGGTTAACCAAGTAATCATGTATTCATGCACATCTCTAGCTTTAACATGCAGTGGTCCTGGTTTGAATAATGTAAACATACTTACTAGTAGAGCATGATAAGTTACATCATAATTTGCCACAATATGCTTTTTGAGCATATTGTGGATACTGTCAGTACCTAAAAATCACTTTCCAACTGCATGCGTGATTAAAAAGAGAGCATAATTAGTTCTGTTTAACTAGATTTAGTACAGCACAGTGGGTGAAATGTTGAATACAAGTAATTTGATTCATAGTTGTTGATAGTATTTTTAAAATGTGGCACTACGTTGCCTGTTCTAACTTAACAGATGTCAGAAAAAATAAATATCGTGACACACTGTGCATTGTAAAAAACTTCCTCGAGTATCGTGATGATACATTTTGCCATAGTGACCACGTTTGCTTTCCAGAATCCCACTTTTGGCATTAAATCAGCCTATGTACATATCTTTTCCAGTTGTCAAATACAGATACCTGCACCTAATATCCTATACCTTTATTAAGCAAGTTTATTTTCAAACAATAAAATGTTTTTAAACTCTGCTATTGAACTACTGAACTTTCCTGTTAGTACTTGGCCATTGGACAATCTCCTATCTTTGCTATAACTGATGTTGGCATCGTTTGATTTCTGTGCACTGAGTAGCCAGTGGTCAACAAGTAAGGGGTCAGTAGGAATTTAGCACAAGTCCAACCTTGTGTTTCAGGTGTGGGTGGGATGCTTGACGGGTTCGGAAGAGCACAGATGACCTGGCTGCCACTCATCGCAGCGCCGCTACGGGTATCGCCAAATACACACTCCAGTTTATCACTCTCAATGCTGGGCAGAGCACTGACAGAAATGGTCACCTGAGAGGAAAGTTAAACCAAGACAAAAGGTAAACTTCCAAAAGTTACAATGACAACCTGCACACAGACACAAGGACAACTGTGGTGACATCACAGTGATAGCTTTGCAAAGCACAACAGAAATCCCAGACTGTTCATGGGTAATGTGATGTCAAATGAAATTAGAAATCAGTATTGGAGGGGGAAAAAGCCAAGGAGAAGAGACGGCAGGAAAATTGATATTCAGCACCGAAGTGTGAATAAGTGAAGCTCATTCATTAGAGCTGACCCATGAAGTTAATTCAAGGGTACCGGGAGCTCTGGCCTTATTACATTCAGTGGAATACCAACATTTATAAATGAAAACAGAGTTTCTCCAGAGAAGCGGAGCATATTCTGAAGTCAGTGGAGGCAAAAAAGCAGATTGAAATTCTCCAAAAAGTGGTGGCTTTGTCAGGCCTTTTATGCCATTGTGCCATTTACAGGGTTGGATGCATTAAAGCACTGCTCGCTAGATAGCGGTGAAAAGTAGAGCCGGATCAATTTTACATTTTTATGATTGATACAGATTTTAATGAGCTCCAGATTCAAATAATATAAGCCTTTCATAATTTATTATGGTCAAAATTTAAACAGACTCCAGTAGTTTTAGTTAAACTGCACTCTACTGACTGTTTATTCTCAATTGTCACATCTGTTAAGCTCAAATAAACCGCAGAACCTCACAGAAAGGCCTACCATAGATAGGGCCAGAGGCAGAACAACCCAGAATTCTTCACAGTGATTTTATTATTTAATTCTTAATTTTTTTTTCATCTGTTTTCTTCATAGAAGGTTTTTTGTTATACAATGTTCTCCTCCTAAAGGTTAGGGTGGGAGACATTTTACTTGTTTTTGTTCAAATTAGCAGTTATCTGACATCCTAACCATAATAGAGCTTGTAGTATTTGGTGAAAAATTAGACTTTGGTTAAAAAAAGGAAAAAAAAAATGTGAGCACAGACAGACATGTACCACTGACCTCAATAATAGCCTCTGAAATGACCAGAAGCAGTGCACACGCAAATACACATTGTATTGTTTTTCCAAAGGTTTTATTTCTCATTCCAACTAAATTAAACGGTCCATTGGCAGGTTTTTCTGTTGCACATGAGGGATGCTTAGTTGCTGGCTGATTTTGCTCCACATCCAATTTGCTTTGAATGCCAGAATGCAAAATCAACACACTAGGCTAATCTGTGGGGGCTGGACTGGCCAGTAAAACTGGGTGGCACAAACTAATTAAGTAGCAGATTACAGGATTGGTATCTAGTGAGATTTACATTCACAGCTGTAAGACCGAAGCAAAGGAGAAAGAACAAGAGTCTCACAGGTAAACTGTGAAACTTGAAGCTATGAGCCTGTACTGCTGTAATAAAGTGAGTGATGACTCAACTTAGTGTAACAGCATAAGAGACGATTTAAATCAGGAATCAAAACCATTTACATCCTCAGGAGTGAATAAAGGTTCTCCTCGCACCAGAATTCTGATGTTTTAGAAGGAGTGTCTGTTCAGGATTAAACAAACCACTAAAAATTGGCGCGTTATCAGTGGCATTTTCGCAAATAAATTCATGAGACCTCAATACAGATCAATATATTGGCCAAGTCCTAGTAAAAAGGCAAAATTCTGGCTTCAGAGATGAATGTGTGCAGTGTGAAAGCATTTAAATACATGAATGATAACTATACCCCTTAAGTTATATTGTTATTTTGACATCTAGTGAAGGCTAGTTTAATTTAAACACTGGACAGACGTGAATACACACAGATGGTTTGCATCTTGACTTGGGCTAGCATCCAACAAAGCCATGTACTAAACAGAATATGAAACTGAAGTCTAGGTTTACATGCCCAAAAATCTGCCGCACAGTATGAAATTACTTACAAGACGGGCGCAGCTACTAAAAGGAGATGTTAAATGGAGCTGACCTGCTGGGTCTTCTTGCAGCTGATGTTGGGAGGATCGAAAGCTTGGATGGTTACACACTGCTGGTTAGGGCTCCACAACCAGGCGTTCTGCTCCCCTCCTCGACTGCAATCCTTCTTTCTGGTGCAGCTGTGAGACAGGCAGGAGAACAATTAATCAATGAGCCTCTGGGCAGCTTTACCACTGTACCTGAACTGACTATTAAATACACATCATTAAACTCCAATAGCTGGACTCACATTCTTTGAGCTATCCCACTTCTTTGCTGCGAAGTGTGTTATCATAAATAGTATCATGGCTGTAATTTAGTCGCAGGCACAAGCTCAAGGCGAGTATCATAGATCATCAGATTAGTTAAGAAAGTAAAAAAAGGGTATTCTTGGAAATGAAATTATCTTAAATCTTGTCAATGTATCTAACATTTCTCATGGTGAGATTCATGTAAGGTTATTTAAGATTATTTAGCTTATTTCTAGACATGTTTTACCTGCATAATAATTAAAATTAATCATTCATTTAAATAATAAAGTATAATTCTCAGTATAATGTTTAAGAAATATGCTTGAAACAAAGCCAAGATTATCAATACAGTGAGATTTTTACTTGATAAAATTACTTAAAACACATTTAAAAAGTATCAAAATAATTTTAAAATATACTATAATATTCCCATAATAAACCCATAATAATCCCATTACAATATTTGAGATGCCACAACTGTCTCAAGATTAGAAATATTACATACAGACACATACACACACATACTTGCAGTGTATGGTTTTATTCCAGCCAGTCCCTAAAGCATTTCTGAACCCATCTTGTTTGGCAAATTGTATTCTGCTCATTTCTGGCTAATTCTAGTTTGTTTGTTCCGTCGTTATAGCTGCCAACTGAAAAGCTTGCTTACGGGAAACAACAGGTTTGGAATTTCATACAGTTCTGCTGTTGCACTCTTCTGCAGAATCTGACACAGTGGGCTGCAGGTCAGAAATTATCATAAGAATCATCAGAAGTTATCTAATGTATTCATTTCCTGTTTTTGCTCAAGTACACTTTGTATCTTAGTACAGTAACCTGCAGCAAAAAGCTTTTTTGCTGGACAACACGTGCTCAGCGGAAAGAGAGTCACTGTGTTGGGTAGAACACTTCTCAACCAAACAAATTGTAACTAACTGTTGTCTGAAATACAATCTCCATCAGTTTCAGTTGATCCTACTGCTTTGAAAAAACACCTTACTGTTGCCAACAATAGACAGACATGTTCTTAATTTACTGAAAATCAATGCATGACACTGATCAGGTCTGCAAAATTCCCCAAAAATCTTGTCACATGTAGGGTGTATAGCTGTATGCGTCCGCATATTTTGCATTTCCGTTTCATGTTTTTGCATTCATTGTGTAAAGGCTTTAGGGATAATTAAACAGTAACTACAGGGAAAGCATGTAAATCAAGCAAATGCAAAGTTATTCCTAAGTAAAAGGAGCTAAGAGTTGAATCCTCGACCAGTCAGAGGGTCCTGGGCATTAAAAAGTCACTCACCGGCCCTCCAGCACACACCAGCCACAGTATGGATCCAGCTGATTCACACATGATGTACAGTTTTTCTTCTGTCCGCATGCTTGCACAGGAACTTTAGTGATCTAGAGCGGAGGGAGAGAACCAATGCGTTCAAAGCACTGTAGAAGTCACATACATTATAGGATTCAATGGTTTGCAGATGCATGAAGCTGTGAATGCATATTCTACAGGTAATGATTACATTTAATCATTATAATCAGGTGTTAATAATAAGTTAACATGAAAACTTATTAATGTCACAGTTTTTCTTAGTCTGACCCTACATTACATCAGGCTGAAGCCCAGCTGGTTGCACTCTGTATGTGGCTATGATAGAATCTGAGACTGCTGCTTCTAAATGGCTTTTAAAGCAACACTTTGAGCATCTTTGGCAGATTGCACTGGACAGTGCTTGCTAGGGAACGATGGATAAATCAATGAGCAACAAACTAACAAAAGCAACAGCAAAGTGGAAAGATACAGATACTCTGAAGAGCCCCCACCAGAACAAGAATCCACAAGCTGTATGAACAAGAAGAACAAGAAATATTGATTATATGTGTGATATATACTGTGCACTCATTGGTTGGAACATGCAGCCACTACGGCTCTCACTTGACATCAGTGTCGGACGTTGGAAACTGTGTTTTTTTTTGCTTTTAGCCACTGTAAAGCCTGACTTTAATCTTTAATCTGAATTTAATAACATGCTGTTAATGCTTTTATTTTGATACGTAAAGAACGTGATCTAACAAAGCTGGATTTTTTTCCCCCTACAAACTACCTTTCTGAACAAGAAAACAAGCCCCAAAGATGTGTTTTATCATTACTCTAAATCACTCTCAACAACATATCTTGGAAAAAAAAGAAAATTTTTGAAAATGTAACACATTTGTAACAAAAACCCTTCATTTTATTATTTTAATTTATTGACAGCCTTAAGGCCAGTTCATAGTACAGGGGACAAGCGTCGCTCCACTAAAAATTACGTAAAAGAGATGTTCAACACTCGTCTGCTAGGGTGTCACGGACGTTGTCATGCACTCGGATTAGATAGAAACCCAAAGTTCCACGTTCTTGGACTGTTGCCATGGTCACCATGTGCGGCTATGTGTACTTTCTTGCTGCTCCTTTGTTATTGCTACTTTCAGAAACGGAACAGGTTGCCAGCTATTCAGAACTAGGATCAATATACATTTATAAGACAATTTGCTTTCATTTTCACTTTTACACAACTGCAATTATTTTAAAAATTAATCCAAGCAGAAAACGCATCCCACGACAGTGTAATTTCCCCCTGCACTTTCAGACTATCTGGAATTTATTCATTAACTGCACCATCATATAAATTTTCATAGAAACTACGGATGATGCTCTATTCTGACATTTTGTCGCTGGAGCAGGACTATGAAAGACTACAGCACTGTAACATCTGTCGACCACAGTCGAGCAACACTTGTCACTCATTATAGCAATACAAGGTATTTTCGGTGTGCTAAAAACAAAGAGAATTAAATACATTTAGAGGCTATAGTACATGTAATCTAAGTCCAAACTGTGAGCAGGTTACCAACCCTCTTTTTTGTGGTAATGTAGATATGATCCAAGCTGGAATCGAAAAACAGGTTTTTGTGTACTTGGCCGTCACTACTGTCTCCTGGAATCCTGTTATACACATCAGAGTTAGTACTCAGATGCACCTGCAGAGTGAAAGAAGATAAAATATAGTAAGTACAGGTTGATTGTTCAGTGTCAGTGGGACTGTATCTCAATACAGATATCTTTTAGCTGCTTTTCAGAAACACAGTTTAGATGACCCCTACGAACCTGTATAGTTCGAAATGATTTTTACAGCCTTTACGATTGGGCTGCCACATACTATCCACTGACAAGACACCAAACTAGCTGTAATGACAGAAGTGCTTGACCTGAGGCAAGATCTAAATAAAATTAAATACCAGCCCCCCACACTGCAGTACAGAGCTCTGAAGGGGACGGAGGTAAAAAAAAAAAATAAATAAATAATAATAATAATAATAATTAGAGTGAACATTTTCCAGTTCGTACACACGTTTTCTTTTATTCGTGGTCATGATTTCTTAATTCGTTCTTAATTCGAGATGAAGAAGCAGCGCGACCGCTTAGCCCCACTCCTGCTCCCGCATCAAGCTGCCGTGTTAGAGACCATCACACAATTACAGGAAGAAACGATCAGCGTTTCAACATCCTCACATTAAACACAGAAACATTCAGTTTAAGCGCACATTATTAACTTCAGCCATTTATGGTTTTATTTCCACAGTTTCATTATATATAGTTACATAATGCTCTACTTTTTTTTACAACAAATATAGTTAAATGAACATAATAATGTTCATTTAAACTTTGACCTCAAAATCACCTTTGAAATACACATTAATATACTATTCTCTTCTTCTTTGTCATTTTTTAAAAATTATTTTATATAAAAAAACACTAAATAGTAAATAGTAAAGTCAATTATTTTATGGTGATTTTAATAGTGAAATAAATCTATTAAACTTTCTTATTATTAGACCTCATGTCACACCAACTTAGAAATATTTATTCTCTATATGCTGTAAGACATAGTTTGATAAATAGTGCAATAATTTATTTAATAATGATTTTAATAGTACAATTATTCTATTAAACTCTCTCACCATTTGACCTCATGCCACATGAACGTTTCTGTGTGTGTTTGAGTTTGTTAAACATGGATGCTGATAATTTCTTCCTGTAATTGTGTGATGGTCTCTAACACTTGCGAGCAGAAACAGGGCTAAGTGGCCACGCTGCATCTTCATCTTTGTTAAATATAATATTTGGAAAGTGTAGTTTAGGGAAGGCTGTGGTTGGAGTTTGTCTTCCTGCATTTCACCACCAAACTGCAGCTGCACTGATGATTCTGTGGGCCGTCCACTGTGAAGAGGAGCTACAGTGTCTTTATAACGCACCTAAGACAGTGTCAGGAAGCTGTTAGCTACTTGTGCACATGACAAATAAAATGGCCTGCACCTACTATATTTATTTTGTTTGTGCATGAATCAAAAATCAATCAATAAATAAATTAATTAAAAAGTGCGCACAACTAAAAAGAAAACATGATCACAATTAAAAGAAAATGAGAGAACAACTTAAGAAATTGTGATGACAAACTAAAAAAAAGCACTCATGAATTAAAGAAAACATGCGCATGATTAAAAGAAAACGAGAGAACTCTTAATCGTGGAAACAAATTAAGAAATCATGATCATGAATGAAAGAAAACATGCGTACAAATGTGCAAAATGTTCACTCAAATTAATGTTTATTTTTACCTCTGTCCTCTCCGGGGCTCCGCACTGCTGTGCTATTAAATGCAATGGATTTTTTTTTTTTGTCATTTGACTCATGAATAAGATCAGAAGTGAATGGGTCACTGAGCAGATTTATTAATAACACAGCACCCAATCAATTTGAGAACTGCTTCTTCAGAGCTAGCTGTACTCTTTGAAGCCAAGAGTTTAGCAGTTAGCCTATGTGTGGTCCGCTTCAAGCTGCCGTCTTAAAAAATGACACAACTTGCGTGATATTTTGACTTGAACCGCCTGATTTGCCACAATGTCCAGACACAATGCAGCATCATAAAGGAGAACATCTCACCTTGAACACTTCTCCCTGGCGTGTGCCCAGGAAGGCCACCGTGTGTTCGTTCTCCACGGCCACAGCCACGGCCGTCAGCATGCTCTTCCTGGTGAACACGGGGTTGACCGTCAGAGCGTACTCGGGTTTACTGGCCAGAGGGGATGGCAGGAATTCCTCTCCACATGGGTATATTTCCATTATATTCTCCTGCTGGACATACAAACACAGAGATGTTCCAACACTCGTCCTTAATGAATTGTCCTGTTCTGGTTTATTGTTTGTGGCTGATGAAACACAGACACTGATGGCACTCTAAACCAGAGTGTCCTAATGCCTGTCTCAGGAAGCAGCATTTATTGATTAACCAGCCAATTTTTGACTTTATTCAGTCTCACAACAGCCATCCATTTTTCACCAGGCTGCATCACAATGGCAGCTTATGCTCTATGCCTAACCAGCTCCAGGGAAGGTTAAGTTCTGAATTAGGGATATATATATAATATAAACAGTGCTTGGACAATTCTGGGCCAAGCTTCGGATGGAAATTATAGTATCTAAAAATGGGTTAACGGACAAAGCTGTGGCCATCATAAAAATGAGTTAACACCTTTTGGGATAGGTTTCGTGAAGCTAAACCTTAATCAGGAACCATCAGTAACCTGAAGATGCTTTGCAGGACAGGCCACTGGAGGGCTGGAGTCCAGCACTGACTGGTGATATCATTGCTCTGAATAGCTCATTACCAGGTCAGAAGATGTGTTAAAAGTGGGAATGACCAAACTGTGTTGGACTCCGTTCCTCCAGGACTGAAACTGGACACCCCTGAACTAAACCACTCACACCCAGCCTACCTCTCTCTTTGTAGTGCAAATGGCCTCAGGTTTGGAGGAGTAAGGTGAGTAAACAGATGTAGACTCTCCTTTGTAGCAGGACTCAATCACTTCCTTCAGTCTGAGATTGATGCTGCTAAGAGAGTACATGCAGAGCGCTGAATTCGAGGCGTCCCCATCCTGGCTGAACACTGCAAACAGCACCTTATCGCTCGCATTCAGTGCACCGTATATGCTGGGGGAGCTGAGGTTCTTCACCAGAGCACTCCCAGGTGTGGCTAGGTACGCTGCCCGCACCTAAATAATCACAATAATAGTATTATGTATACACACACACACACACACACTTATACATATACGTATACACACACACACACACACACACATATTTCAATTCCTGGTGATGCTACACCCATCCATGGTCAAGAGTCTAAGAGAGCACAATAGGCCTCACTCTCTCCTGGTTGGTAGGATTGTATACAACTCTGTTCATCATTCTAGACACACTTAAACTTTAAGTTTTCCCTGAAGGCCTCCCAGCAGCACATTAGAATTGTTTTATACATTTATCTGAAACAAAACTGGTTTATAGTCCTAAAAACACTGATTTCAAACTTTTGAACTTTACTGGGGGAAAAAAAAAGTTTTCATTTAAGCCATTTTAAGTCATTCATTTTCATACCTTGTTGTAGGTTTTCCTGTCATTGTCTGCAGGACTGACGCTGCAGTTGAGCTGAAGTTCTGTATAGGAATAGTAATGGGTATCATTCTCACACAGGCGCGCCACCATGGTGATATTGGTGGTGCCATGAATGCGAGTGAACAAGAAGTAGATGTAGCCACTGTCTTTGAAGATGTAGTGGAAGTCGTGATGGTAGCGCAGAGCGAAAGGGCTGGCCTGCACCATGGATGCCTCCACCACATTCTCAAACATGTCCATGTCGCCGTGGACCTGCAACAGCCGCGTGCTGATGAGCTTGGAGCTGTCTGAGCCGCCATAGCCTTTGCCCACTATGAAGACGCTCAGGTATTCGTCTCCTTTTTTGAGGGTGGAGATTATCCCTACTACGGAGACGTTTTCATCCGTGGTGGCTACGTAGGTTTTCTCTCCTTTCATGTCGCTGTAGTAGATCTGCTGCTCCACGTGGCTGAGGTTCAGAAGAGAGCAGATGCCTCTGTAGATGCTGCCACACACCACCAGTGAGCCGTTTTTCGGGTTGGTCAGCAGGAGCTTGTTGTAGTTGTTCATGTCACGCGCCTCTGTGCACGTGGCGGTGATGGGCGGGGTGCAAGAGGGGTTGTCCTTCTTCGGGCCCGTCACTGCCATGCTCTCCTTCTGCAGCCGCGCATCCAGCTGGTAGATGGCGTTGACCGCGCCCAGGTAGATGCGGCCAGTGTGCGGGTCCTGAGCCACTGTGTTGATGATGGTGGCTGAGGAGAAGTTGGCATACGGCTGAATGGAGAGAGAGCGGCCGACACACAGCAGCGACAGGAGCGCCACCACACACCACCATGCCATTTCTGAGAGAGAGAGGGAGGGAGGGGGAGAGGGAGAGAGAGAGATTATTTGAAAGCATGTGAAACTCTTGTATATATATTACGCTTAATTTAACCAACTGGACTGTTTCTAAGTAGAGGAGGAGATACTATGAGCTGAATTTGATGAAGTTATTGTGTGTGCAGCTTTGTTTGGCAGAAAAAAAAACACCCTTTACATTTTCACCTTGTTTGTGTCAATTCTTGACATTGAATAAATGGAAAGGAGTCAAAAGCACAGACTTGAACCTGTTGATACACAATGTTACTTTAATACAAATGTAATTCGTAGCATAACTAAGTAATTAATCACGCAATCACAGTACTGTGCAAAAATCAGAGGCCACCCATTTATTTAACTTCATTTCAAAACAGTTATTACACATAAGTTTTTCATTTTCAGGAGATATTTCTGAGGAGATGTTATGCATGCAAGCTCACGCAAGAAGAAAACATGTTGAGAAAATGTCTTGCCCCCATGCGCACTTCAGATTCTCATTCAAGCCTGCATAAGCACTTTTACCTAAAGCTGAACAGAGAACAGTGTAATTCATGTGTTGCCCCGTCTGTTCTGTGTGATACTGGCCTGCAGACTGCTCCATGATATGACTAGGCTGATAAAAGAAAAGGTATTTTCAAAGAGACCTTCCCCAGCACTCTTTTCTTCCCTTGTTCCTTTCATCCCTCCCCATGCCACTTCACTGGTTTTCAGACACCAGGGCGGATGTCAAGTGCTCATCAAAGGGCTGAAAGCGGGGCCAGCCTGTGAATGTGCAACAAAAGGTGGCACAGTGGATTCTGGGTAAAGCCCTCAGCAGTTGGGCTGAAACAAAAATGCAGCCCCTCCTTCCTGTAAACAACCCTCATTATCCTTCATAACCACTTCAACCTAACCTCACTGTACGGTGGTGCACGTCATACGACAAAGATCTTCAATTCGGGGTAGCTGATAAAATCATGCAGGTGGTCTGGGGCTCCAGCCTGTGTTCCACTGCCAAAACAATTCAGACAAGCTACACGACTTTCTGAATTACTGCTAGAAGATCAGTGACTCTGTTTCAAGTTCCAAGAAAAAGTGACAACATTGCCGAGAAAAACACATGACTCTAATTAGACTAGCTGTTCACTCCAAACAGTACTTAAAAAGCACTTAGGCAGCTCTTTTAACTTCTGGGACAAAAACACAAAGCTTTGTACAACCTTTCAGCTCTGCTGAAACACAGAACATGTTCACATTTGTGCTATAAACAGGGTTGATTCTCATTTTCCCTGATTTCAGTTAAGCTTGCTTCCTACCGCAAAGAGCATTGGAAGTAGCAGGGCTGCACGATTCAGATGTTCGATAAAGCTGTCAGATATCACAATGATGATATGAGAAGCGTTAAGGTAAGGCAGTTTTTGAACTGTTTACATGTGGATTTTAGAATTTGCTGTTTAGTCAAATGGTTAGGTTAACTGTTTTTCACTTGGGAAGAATGTGCATTCTGTCTTTTTTGCTATCTGGCACATTTAGTATAGCCAGACTAAACAATACAAGCACACAAGCACTGCGTGGAACTGTAAATACAAGTATGTGCAGAACATGAAGTTTTTAAAACTTGAAATTACACTCTCTGCTATGATGGTTTCGCCACCTGCTTCTCACACTGAACGTTATACCATATGATGGAGTTCTGTAGAGCAAGAGGAGGTGTCTGAAATACCCAGACAACATACCGTACTTGTCGCACTCTAGTAATACTTGCCTTAGTTCAAAACTAAATATAAAATGCCTACAGAGTTATAAACAGAATTAACAGTAACACTTAACTCAATTTGAACCCATAATTAGAGCCTGACTGATGCATCAGTTGGTTGATAAAACTGGCTGATATTAACTCATGAAAAATAAGAAAATAAGACTTAATCAATAGAACCTAAAATGGCAAAGAATTCTGGGAAGTCCACTTCCAAGTGCTCCAATGTCATTATAATTTAAGATTAGATTAGACTCACATTCACAGACAGCGACACGCAGCTAGAGAGCAGACAAAGGTCATTTTAATTGTTAGCGGGAAAGCACTTGATTTGTGGTAAGAACTGGGTGGGAAAATATCTGATAGATGATGCTCTGTAGTCACTAGCCAGTGAAGTACAGCATACTGTCATGGTATCTGCTTGGCATCAAATCTTTGGGTGACAAGGCGGGAAAGTTGCTGCCAGTGTGAATGCAGAGTAAGAAACATGAGAACGGCAGTCACATCCACAGTTGACAGCTTATAGTCTTATCAGCCCATAAAGCAGTGTTTAACTAAAGCTATTGGAAAATATAAATATAAAATTATATCAGTGGATATTATGGGAAATCTGAAGTTTTAATGGCATCTTTCTGCTGTTTTAGCTACTCTTTTCTGATAAAAATGCAATTTCTTAGTGCCACTGTTGCTGTTGATACGTAAACAATGTGATCTAACAAAGCAGAAACTTTTGAGATTTTCACTTTTTTTTTCCCCACAAACAACTTTTTGAATAAGAAAACACGACTAAGATAAGAATTCGCATCGGTCATGTTGCATCTTCACTGATTAAACAAATTAATTATAAATGATGAAAAAATTTACAACACATTTAACAAGAACAGGAGATCATGTGTATCTTTCATATGGTGACGGACAATACGGTAGCACAAAAGTTCCCGTTCTGCAGTATGAAATTCATAAATTGATTTCACTTTATGTGATTAAAATCAGAACTAGATACAAAATGTTCATATCGTACCAGATCCTAGTAATGATACATTGATTTGTTTCCATTTCAAATAATAGTACTTACAACTGTGTGCAAGTTGTGTGATCTGATCTACATCAGCCATATTCAAGCTTAAATTTCCATTTTAATACTCCAGTATTGCCTGATATGAATAATAATATCTTTTACAATCATTCATCAATATCAGTCACAGTCACCGGTCCACACTGTAAACTGCAAATTCATACCAAACTCAAAATGGCCTCCCTGTGGAGTGTCTGAGAAGCGGCTGAGGTGTTGAGAGAGTGGTGCACAGTACAACAGTGCGAGATTAGAAGCGGGAGGAGTTTTTGTTACCACTTGTCCGGTAAGCATAGTCAAAGGGCAGTGATACATTTCTGTTGAATTAGTGCGAGTCTTCTGGGAATTACCCACACGCACACAAAGACGCTTACAATGGAGACTCAAAAACACAGTCACACAATGCCGCATTCCTTATGAATGAATAGTACAGTAATCACATGCACATTCACTCAGAAGCAACAGCACTGGTGCAGTTTTGATAGTTTGTTTGTTAAAAAGGGTGGGACTATACAAGTCATGTGACCTTTGCAAGGAGACGTCTCCTTTCTACTCCAGTGACACGTCCCACACACACAATCCCCTTCTGTACACACCAAAACACCCACTAACACACCCTAACAGCCCACTTCCCTGATAGAAAGCGCACACATACGCACGCATCCTAATCTGCGAGAAACCTCCAGCTGCAACTGCATGAGATTTGAGCGCCGTCCCGCCATCTGGTAAAACCACCTGCGCGCATGTATGTGTGCGCACATAAAACACTTTACCTGGACTACTCCAAAGGCGGAAGAGAGGGCACTCTTATAACAATAACACATTGTAACCTCAAAGCTTTTCTCTTATCACCGCCGTACAGCCAGTGCCTTCTAGGCCTTGGCCAAATGCCCAGAATAAATTCAATTAAAGAAAAAAAATTATACTGTAGAGTTATTTCAGCGATTCTGCCACACAGGCACTTTCAGGCAGGCTTTGTAGAAACATACAATGTCATCAGGAGCATGGAATTGAAAAAAATGGGGAAAAAAACAACAACAGCAAAAAGACTAAGGAAAGCATTATTAGGGAACAGAAACATGATGGCATGTCTTGAGATCTAGCCCCATCCTCTCATCACTAGTTTTACCTATGTGTTCAGTTTCTGTGCACACATATGCCGTTTACAAGTGTGTTTTTGTTTTTTTTGTTTTTTTTTAGTTCAGTGGGTCCTTGTTCAAGTTCCTTTCTAGTCTTGCCATTTATTCTAACGTTGATCCTTTTGCCTGTTTTATGATCACGTTTATGGATGTGCCACATATTACACTGTCTGCGGGCACTGTGGTTACAATTTGTGTAAAAGTTCTAATAAGCCGAGCTCAAGCTCACATCCAGCCTCCAGCACTTCATTTACTTCAATTATTTCAGTCAGAAAGACAGGAAAATGGGATCTCAACTGACATAACAAGTTTAAATAATGTTCTATCTAATGAGGACAATAAATAATAAATTGCTGCCACCTAATGTTAGAATATGCCTACCTAACACTTTCAGAAACCAAAGAAACAGATTTGTCTTGGTCCATGCTACAGGATAATCAGGGCGATTTTGAGGCTGATTTGCTCCTTCTAACAAACGCACAAGGTCTCCCGATATCAGAGTTATCTTAAACTATGATCTTTTCCTATTGTCCTGTGGTGTGGGGAGTCTACAATTCACTCTTTACTCCTCGGATCTACTCCCAGTACAGTCGGGCCTCCCTGACGGAGTCGTAATAATAAAAACATGTTCAATATTTACGACTCAGTATCCTGTAGTGTGGGGAAGATGCTGATTCTCGTATGTGAAATGCAAATGTTGACATGCCTTAAAAAGACCGTCAACCAACGAGAGCCAAGTTGAACTGAACTTGACAGTGTCAATGGAAGTTGTTAGCATGGCAGCTAAATCGAGAACTGTCACCTCATATGTGTCAGTATATATGTATGCATGTATTCACCTCAAGCTTGCATTGCAGTGTGTATAAACTCTTGACCCCTTATTTTCAGCAATGGCTTTATACACATTTTTTTCTTCCACTTGGCTTTTTCTGTGCAGGAAACACACACCACCAGCAAAGCAACAGCCTCGCTGACATTTGCCATGTTTGTTTAGAACTACAGTCCTGTTAGTCTTGCGAGGTTTTGTGAATTGGAACC